CAGGATGTTCCATGATTGATTAGTGATGTCTGTTATGGATAGGGGAAGGGTGAAGATACAAATGAGCCAGTATTTGGTATTCTTATAGTAGGAGCAATAAATATTAATTGATTGAGTGAATGAATGAATTCTGACTCCCATGACATTCTGCTTAAATTAAGCAACCCCCTTCTCCCAAGTAAGCCTGCCCCTTGGTGAGGCATCTTAGAACCTCAAGTGATAGGAGAACTATCATTTGGTGATGATGACCTGTCACATGCCGAACACCATGTTAAGCCCTGTCAAAACATTACCTCGCTGGCGTCTCACAATAGCCTCATGAGAGAGATGATCATCTTTCTTTTCCACTGAGGAAACTGTGCCCCACGAGGGAAATGATCTACCCAAGGTTATGCAGCTAATCAGCAGCAGAACCCAAGTCCACATCCTGCCCATTCTCTCCTCCACCATATGCGAGCCCAGCGGTGGATTTTCTTATTTCTCAAAATCTAGTGTAGCAATCAATAGAACCTCAATCAGTTATTCATTTGCCAAAGAGAGAGGAAATGAATACTTAAACAGGCCTTGGAAAATTCCCTGGAAAGCCCCTAAGAGATAAACTGAGTCCTGTCCAACAGTTACATGGAGGTTGATTTCACAATCAGAGCCCCTAACATAAACAAGACTATTTTATGTGTTACGTATTAATTCTGCCATGCCAGACACGATGCAAAACACTTGACATTCATTAACGTAGCTAACTCTCACCACAGTCCTCTGAGGCAATATTGTTTTCCGTTTTATGAAGGAGGAATCTGGGGTTCAGAAAGATGAATGGGGGCCAGCTGCATGGCACAGGAGTAATGTACTGCTCAAGAGAAACTTCATCTGGGGCCAGTAGATGGTGTAATAGTTACATCGCTGAACTCCCACGTAGTTGCCTGCAGTTCGAATCTCAGACCCAGTGGCTTGAAACTCACGCTGGGTGCATGTGTGTGCATGCCCAAAATCCTGAGAGGAGAGCAGAAGAGAAGGGACTGTGGTGTGCTCATCCTCCCTGGGGGGTGATTTCTGTCTCTCTCTCTCTCTGTGTCTCTCTGGCAAGTGCACATGCCCTAAAGCAAAAATCTCTCTTAAAAAAAAATGAGAAAGAGGGAATCTGGATTCCACATGGTGAACACAGTTTGAGTTTGGCCCAGTCAGCTTGAAACACACTGAGCATGCATGTGAGTTCCCAGGATTCAATGGGTTGGAGGACTGGAGGAAGCAAATGGTAGTGTGAGTATGTCCTGTGGAAGGTGTTTCTCTCTCTCTTTTTCTCTCTCTCTCATGTGTGTGTGTGTGTGTGCCTTATATCATGAATAAAGAAACCAAAATTAAAAAAAAAAAAAAAAAGGAAAAAACACCCCCGCTGAGTATACAAAATAGGATTCCACATGGTGAACACAGTTTGAGTTTGGCCCAGTCAGCTTGAAACACACTGAGCATGCATGTGAGTTCCCAGGATTCAATGGGTTGGAGGACTGGAGGAAGCAAATGGTAGTGTGAGTATGTCCTGTGGAAGGTGTTTCTCTCTCTCTTTTTCTCTCTCTCTCATGTGTGTGTGTGTGTGTGCCTTATATCATGAATAAAGAAACCAAAATTAAAAAAAAAAAAAAGGAAAAATGACCCTCCTTGAGATCACACAATAGTATGGGTCCAAATCACAGAGCTGTGTGTGTGTGTGTGTGTGAGTGGTGTGTCATTGTTGTACTGTGTCAGTGTGAAAGTATTATTGGAAGAACATGCATGGGAATGAGAGTTCAGGGGATAACGTGAGGTCCAAAGTGTGGACTATAATAACTCTTGTTGCTTATAGGCTACTGTATGTCCATTCCCCCTCCTTCTGATGCAATCTAACTTCCTTTTGAGTGACCAACTATTTCTAACATGTGTAGTCTCAGTGGGATCCTGGGTGGATGGTCCAAGTAGAATCTGTCTTTTAAGTATCTAAATTTAGCAAAGCAGAAACAGTGCTTGGTATTCATTCAGGTGGTGTAGCAAGGTGATTAAAAATATAATTTAACAGGCCAGCTGGTGATTTGGTGAAGGCAGCTGGATCCCACACAGCCAACTTCGCACTTCAAGTCCTGGACGTGGAGGCTTGTAAAATATACTGAGCATGTGTGTGCGTGCCCAAAATCCCGAGGGGAATGAAGGAGAAGGAATTACAACATGGTCATTCCCCTGAAAGGCGATTTGTCAGTTTCCTGCTCTCTCTCTCCTACCACCGCCCGTCAGTGCACATGCCCTATAACAAACAAACAAACATTTTTTTCTAGCATTGGATTGACGTTTCTAATTATGCAGTCCACAGTTTACTAGCTCTCTGACTTCGGGTAACCTATGTAATCTCTAAAATGCAGCTTTCCGTCTGTAAAATGAGGACAGTAATAGAATCAACCTCCTAACTGTTAAACACTTAGGAAAGGATCTGGCATCTAGAAAATTCTACTTTGTTGTATTTGTTTGTTTTGTTGTTATCCCATCAATCTTCAAGATTTTCCAATTCACTCCTGCTAATGAGACCACCAGAGCATCCTACTTGTTCCTGTGTTTTCCAGAAGATGGGCCCCCAGGCTCCTCACTGATTCCGTGAGCACTCAATACCTTGCCAATCCATTCTTCCTCTGCTTAACTAACGCAGAATCAGTTTCTGATGCCTGCAACCCCAGGGTACTGGCTGTTGGGTCAATTCTGTCTCATTACAACCTGAGACGACTCTAAACCCTCCAGACTATGCCCTCCCCCCCGCCACCCCCGCCCCCGCCCAAGTTCCAGCAGAATTCTGCACCTAGCATTAACAAGTCTGTTCCCTCCTAAATTCACTCTGGAGTAGGGGTACCAAAACTATCTCCTGCAGGTTAAAGAGGCTTATTCAATTGCTTAATAGACCCTAGCACGGAGATCCTCTGAGCTGTGTATTATAGTGGATCTATTGGGGGATTATTAGTTCCAAATCAATGATGAGCAAAGGTCCAGGAATACAAAGGAATTTGGCCAAAGTTACATGGGTGGTGTGGCTCCTAGCTCAGGTTCCCTCTGCCAAAAGACTGATTAACCTATGTAGGGTGGGAGATGGGTTACCAGTAAGGCTTGGGCTTTGAACTCAAATCCTTAACACAACAATCATTCTTTTTTAGTTCTTCACTTACTCTCAATTTCATTAAGCTTAAAAATACCTCAAAGCCTTTACATATGCTCTTCCCTCTGCTAGGAACTCTGTCCTTAGCCTCCCAAAAGAGGAATTCTCATCCCCTTCCTAACGCACTAACTGTAAGGGAATTCCCCTTCAATTCCCAATGCCAGCATCTGCCCGCAGTTACTGCACTCCGGTATTATTTTCCCTAGTTATCATTCTCTTGTCTGTCTTCCCCACCAGATTGTGCGTTACCCAAGGGCAAGGACTGTCTTGTTCTGGCTGAGTGCTTTGTACAATGTTTCATGAAGGAAAAGCTGAATCCCTGAGTCACCCGACCAGCATCTCTTTAGTCATCCTCTTAGTCCATTCAAGCTGCTATAATAGCATAGCTCAGACTGCAGGCTGATAAACAACAGAAATTCATTTCTCACAGTTCTGGAGTCTGGGCAGTCCACGGTCAGGGCACTGGCAGATTCAGTGTTGGTGGGGACTCTCTTTCTTGTTCTTAGATGGTTGTCTTTTCACTGTGTCCTCACAGGGCAGAAGGGACAAGGGGTCTCTGTGTATCTTTTATTAAAACACTAATCTCATTCATGAGGGCTCTATCTCCATGACCCTGTAACCTCCCAAGGGCCCCACCTCCCAATACCACCACCTTGGGGGTGAGGATTTCAATGCAGGACACAAACATCAGAGAATAGCATGCATCTAGCCTGCCTGGTGAGGACCTGCATTCATAAATGGCCCTCCTGGCTCTATCCTCCCATGCTGGAAGGGGCAGGACAGCTCCCTGGGGCCTCTTCCATAAAGAAACTAACCCTATTCAGGGGGATCTCCCCCCAAACTCCGCCCCCTACCTACTCATCTCCCAAAGGCCCCACCTCCTAACACCATCACCTTGGGGACTGGGTTTCAATGTACACAGTAGGGTGTGGGGGTGGGGAGGGCAGATTTTCAGACCATAGCGGTCATCTAGTTTCTCAGCCTCCCTCCACAGCTGAGGTCCAGTGGGAACAATGGCTTGGACAAAGCTACCCAGTCAGTCGCTATCTGAGAAACAATAACAGAACTGCTAACAGCCACCATCAGCTCACGGCCCTGAACTGTGCTGTCAAGACGCGAAGTAACGCCGAAGAATTTACAGGGAAAGGGTGTTAGGGCAGACAATTACTCCTGGCCACCGAGTCTAGGACGCAGGTGTATCGTCGTCGTCATCGCACCCGTTTCACAGATGGAGAAACAGAGGCCTAAGAAGCGTCTGTGACTATCTGGGAAGTGGGCGAGGAGACTCGAACCCAGCTCTGACTCTTCTTAGGTGCTAACCCTGGGGGCGAGGGCGAGGCTAGCAGCCTTGCTCTGCCCGTCTCACTAAGAGGGTTGCAGGGACAGGGCTGAGAGAAGAGAGAGAGGCGGTACGAAAGCTCTCGGCTCTCCAGTTCCTTCTGGCAGCCGGTGTGACCTGGAGGCGGGCGGGGTGCCTGGTTCTCATCACTCGCCGAGACCGGCGGCGGACGGCGGGTGCGGGCGCCGGCACAAAGGGCCGCTGTCCCGCCACCTCGGCCCACGCGGGGAGCGGCGCTGGGCCCGGCAGGGAATCCGGGCAGCCCGCCCCGCCCCGTCCCGCTGGTGGCCCGGACCCGCGCCGCCCGCGACTCTTCTTCGGTCTTGGCCGTCTCCAGTCCCGACCTCTGTCGGTCTTTCTGGCATCTTCTCTGTCTCTGTCTCTCTCCCTGTCTCCCCAGTCGCTCTCGGAGATGAGGGCGGGCCGGCGCGGTTCGCTGCAAGGCGAGCGCGGGCAGGGGATTGCACTGGACAGCGTTATCCGCGGACCTATAGACCGGGCGCCCAGGCATGGATCAGCGCCCGTCACCATGGTAACGCCTGCAGGGTGTGTCGGGGTCAGAGCCCAATCTTTTGTGCTGAGCTGACCCTCAGAACCTTGCCCGGGGGGTTTGTGTTTAACTGCCTTGCCCCAAGCAGGAGTAAGGGGTGCACGGAGCCCCCCACCCTCTTGGCCTCTTCTCGGTGTGTGAAGTGACCGCAGTAAGATTGGACAAATCTGAGCTGCCCCAGCTCAGCACAGATCTGAGCTCGGATCCTAGCTCTTGGACAATGAAAGAAACTTGGGGTGGTTTTGCAGTTTAGTTTTGAGGCTGATGGTCAGACAGTACTTCGGGCCGAGGTTTGAGTGGGATGAGGGTTAAGGTTTTCTTCAGCCCAGCCTGAAAGTGCAGGGCAATGCGAGTCAGGGGACAGAGTAGGGAGGAGAAAATTGCTTACCAAAACCTAGAATGATTTTGTTATTTTAGACTTGGTGCTGGAAGTAAGATATGCAGGTTGTCCTGGTGTGGGGAGCTCCCATGAGAATTGGGCGGGAGTTGTCTGGGGAAGAGGGAGGCCACACACTCCCCATCTTGACTTTGTGGACTGGCACCTTAAGAATGTTGGAATGCTCTGGGAGAGTTGTGTGAGTGTGTGAATGTGTGTGTATGTGTGCATGTGCATTTGTGCCATTATCTGTGAATAGGGAATGAGAGAAAAGTCTGATTGCTGGGAATCCCAGCCCAGCTCTAGGAAGGCCCCGGGCACCTGGGCAGATTCACAGGAGCCGTGTGGACAGGCCAGGGCTTTATTTCCTTGACTATGTAGAATTCGTGTGGGTATTCACTCCTGTACATGTCCATATGCAGAATTTTGAATTCATACACTCACACATATGCATACACGTGAAACACAATGAAACACACTCCCACTGACCCACGGCTGGACACACATGCCCTCTCATGCACACAGGCCTTGTCCACCTGCTCTCCCATGTTACTAAGACATGGGCATACACCCACATGCACACATGGACAGAGTGCAAAGCCACACGTCTAAGCCACTCGCAGCATGACAGGTGCACACACATTTCTCTTGGGGTGATTGGAAAATATCACCTTAAGGTGGTTCTTTGCCTCTCCCTGAAGGCAAGGCTCTGTGCTAGGTGATTTGCACGTGGGAATTTGTGTAACTTAAACCAACTCTCCAGAGTAGGCCTGTTGGTATTTCTGGTCAGCAGGTCATCTCGCTGGAAAGTGTGGTTAGGACAGCCTGAATTCTGAGCCTGTGCTCAGCTGCCTCGACCAACCCAGAGCCATAGCCTGCACCACGTGGTGTCTGCCAAACCTCCTGGTGTCATACCTTAGCCCAGTTATTAGTTTTAGACTCCAGAAACCCCTCATGGAACCCCAGGCCCTCCGATCAGGGGCAGGCACTAGGCTGCCCTTCTCAAAGACTGAGTAGCTCTTTCCTGAATGAGAACAATGAGATGTTCCTCCTTTCTCTGTCTTTAAATATTAAAGGTTGTCCCCAGGCCACCTCTCTGGCATCACCTCTGTGCCAGCCACTCTGACTTGGGTGTAGAGCCTCTTACGGTTCCTGTTCTCTCCTGTCTCAGGGCCTTTGCATGTGTTGTTTTTTTTACTGGATGGAATTACTTTGACTTGACCAATTCCTATTTATCCTATAAAACTCTACCCAAATGTCGCCTCCTCGGGAAAGCTTCCTGGACTTCTCTGACTCTCACTGTGACATGTCATAGACCCCCCTTTAGGATATGTACATTGGAGCTGTAATTTGTGTGAGAGGATGTGATTAACAGCGCTCTAGGGTCTGGGGACAGCCCACTGTCAGAGAATCTTTCAGGAGGGGGGATTAAGTTTTATCCAGTCCCATTCTTCCCAAATTTCAGTATCATTGGAACAACTTTTACAGAGCTACTTATTGGATACAGTTATAAGGAAATAGTAAGATCTATTATTTATTATTTATTCGGTAGTTTTCTTTACTTTTTTTTACTTGGTAAACTTAAAAATATATTTAAATGGGACGTTTTATAACCCAACCATGAAAAATCAGTATCTATTATGATAAATAGAAAGTAACTGTAAAAATAAATACAATGAAGGCAAATCTGTCAGTAAGTTCTGGCTGGATGAAGTTGATGTGAATAATTCTAAGCCTGAGGACAACTGGGAGAGAACTAGTATAACTTTCTTGCTATGGTTTCAAGGCCTCCTGGAACTGTCTTGTGGACCATCTGTAATTGCTTCCCACACTGAGAAAGACTGGTGGAGTCCAGTTTGATTCATTCAAAATGACCGGAGTGCCTACTGCCCGATGGTCCCCCACTCTAGCTCCTACTGTGTGCCAGGCCCTGTGTGAGAGACCTGGTCTGCACCTTGGGGATTTGCAGCCCATGGCAAAGGCAGGCCTATCCCCGGAGAGTCCTGGCCTGTACGGTGGGTGGTGTGAGTCAGTCTTTCTGCCTAGAAGCCCAAGTGTCATCCAAGACTAAAGGGAAGAGATGCAGGTTGAATGGGGCTCTGAAAGATGGGCAGGAGGGGACACAGGTGACAGACATGGTGATGTGTGTGCAGATGGTGCTTGCCAGTGGGTTCCAGGGGAGACTTTAGATGGTACTTAGATGAACATTTTTTAGATTTTAGTTTTCATTGTATTAAGCATTTGGAAGTGAGTTGAACAATGCAAACACATGATAATAAAAAATAAATGGTCAACAGAATGTTAAGTAATAATTAGTAATAAATATAAATGAAAAACAAAATAAGATATGTGAGCATGGCAAGGCAACCCTAAGAATGGGGCACATGGATGATTGAAAAGCCCTGCGCTGTGGCACTAAGTGTGTTTAGGAGCAGCAGGAAGGATAAGCTGGGAGCTGATTGGCCCCAGGTCAATGATTGCTAAGACAATAGGGAGCCACCTGAGGTTGTTGAGCAGTGGAAGGTCACAGTTGGATCTGTATGTTAGAAAAGCCAGTGCGAGGGACCAGCAGTTAGCGTAATGGCTATCTCACCAGACTCCCATGTAGTCGACTGCGGTTGAGTCCCAGACCTGGTGGCTTAAACTTACACCAGGTGTGTGTGCGTGCATGCCCAAGATCCTGAGAGGACAATGGAGGAGAAGGCTATCCCCCCTAGGGGATAATCCCCCCTGGGGGGTGATTTCTCACTTTCTGTCTGTCTTTCTCTGTCTTTCTGGCGAATGCATGTGCAAAAGAAGAAAGAAAAGAAAAGCCACTGTGAGAGCCAGACAGTTGTCACATTCTGGATTCAGGTGGGAAGGTCCCAGGTCCGTGTTCTGGTGCCTCCCTGTGTGTGCCAGGGGCACACACACGCACACGTATCCATGGCCTGGGCTGGCTGAATCTGAGGGTGTTTCATAGCATGAAGATCCTGTAGGGGGAACCTTTCTCTTTCTCTCTCAGAGGAAGGATATGGAAGGAAGGAGGGAAGAGAAAAGGAAAGATAAAAAGGCAACAAAGAAAGAAAGAGCATTTTGGTAGCCAAAGGGGAGCCTGGCCTGCTGGTAGGAAGCCCGGGGAAGAGGTAGCAGATTCATAGACCCACTCTACCATGCATTAGTAATAGAGCCTTGGGCTCAGTTTCTTAAACTATAAAATGGAAACAAAAAATACCTAGCCCACAGCATTACTGGGACAGTAGGATAAAAGAATGCATGCAAAGTGCTTCCCACAGGGCTTGACTTGCTCGGTAAGAAGCCGCTGTTCTGTGATTTGGGTGGGAGATGGCAAGCCTCGGAGTGGATTCAATGGAGGGAGAGGCAGGCACAGGCACTAAGCTAAGACTCCAGAGGTGAAGAGACTTGCTCAAGGTCATCCATTTGCGAGACAGACAGCGGGACTTGAACGTTGGTCTCTGACGCCCACTTGTTTCTCAGTTCACTGAATCTGGGTTGTTTTTCCAGTTTCTGAAAGATTTTTTTAATAAGGAGCCAATGCTGGCTCATTCCTCCACCCACACAAAAATAAAAAGGACTTAAAGCAGAAGTTTTAGTTGGATGTGAGCATGGACGTCCTGGCAGCCAAAACAACAGAATGCTGGATTTCAGAATCTGCAGCCTGGAAAAGTTCAAGAGGAATGTCCCAGGTAGAGGAGCCCGAAGGCTGCAACCTGACACCCGCTGGGTTGTATCTGGTTCCTGGATGTGCTTGGTTTGGACAATGTTTACAAAACTGGGAGGTTTCACTAAAACATCAGAAGATTAGGCAATGTTGGGCCAGGGCAACACTCAGCCGAGGAGATGCTGATGAGATGGGGTGTATGTGCCAAGCCCCACTACTCCCTATTGCTTCCCTGATGCTGAGGCTGTCAGGGACTGCTCACCACAGAGCTGGAGGGGTCGCTTTCTCACACTGGGCCCTCTTCTGTCTTCGTATCTTTTCTTTTAATCCTTCCTGAGAATGAACTGAACCCATTTAGAAACCACACTCCAGCTCCAAATCGTCCTGAATCAAATTCTAGCATCTCTCTGCCAGAAGGGCCCTTGAAGATAGATACATATGCCCAATGCTTCCCTTTTACAGAGGTGGAAGCTGAGCCAGGTCACCTGGAGAGTCTTGGGCAGAATCTCACCCTCCCCAGGTATTTCTGCCACAGAGCAGAGCAGAGATTGAAGACAGCCCAAGGGCCCTGCCCACCTCGCTTTTCTCTGTCCTCTCTCCTCCCGATGAGGAGGGAGAAGCTGGCAGTGCTAAGTGATACAAACATCTCTCTCTCTGCCTGTTGGAGTAAGTGCGTGACTCTGGGCCTTTAAGAAAAGTTCAGCTCATATCTCAAAAGACCCAGCTAACAACATCTGGTGAGACCATTTAAAAAGGAGCTAGCCTTAAATATACACACACTTGCACTGTTATTTTTTTTCCCTCCCGATTATAAAATCTGTACAAGCTGGTTAGGGAACTTTTGGAGAATCCAGCAAACTGTAAAGACAATCAAAAGGCTGCCCTCGGAGGAGGCTCCTGCCCTCATGGCCCTTAGGTGTAACTGCAGTTAACACGTAACGTTTACTTGGACCGTCTAGGCTCACACATGTTTTCACACATACTGTAGATCATACTGTATGGAAATTTTCTCTTTAAATGTTATGATAGTCAGAGGAGCGTTTCCAGGTGGGGGACTTGGCTGGGAGGAGGCCTGTTTCTGGGGAGGTGGAACTCTTTCGCATAGTGATCTGGGAAATAGTTACAGGGATCCTTATGTAGGTAAAAAATGCATCAACATGAACATTTTCTATTTGTTTATTTTACTTGATAAAAATAATGTGTAAGATTACAATAAAAATAGAGGCTCAGACCAGCCCGTGGCATGGTGGTTGAGATATATGGATCCCACATGGTCAACTGTGCAGTTCGAGTCCCAGACCTGGTGATTTGAGAAACACGCTGGGTGCATATGCACCCGTGCCCAAAATCTCAAGAAGGGAAATGGAGAAGGGATCGTGGCATGGCCTCTGTGGAGTGATTTCTCATTTTCTGTCTCTCTCTGTCTCTGTCTCTTTCTGGTGAGCACATGCACCTTAATAGCACAATGTAGAAAAAAACACAGAGGCTCATTGCAAAGACACTGAAATAGCAGTAAGTGCACAGACACCACGCTCCCTGCCCAGACAGCACAGCTGAGAGCAGGTCATTTTCCACGTCCCTCGACACTGTACAAGGCAAGGTTCCTGGCTCTGTCCAGAAGGTCATGAGCATCCTATAGAGGTCAGATGCCGCCAGTTCTGCTGGTCCCCTGGCTGGGCTTCTCCTCTGGCTCTGGGTCCTAGGGGAGAGGCTGAGTCTGGCTGGCCTGACCTTCTTCCTTTTTAGTTTCACACCAGCTTGCTCCTGCCGCAGCTCCTGCCAAGGAGTAGTAAAAGGCCCAGTGGCTGTGCTCACTGGGAAGGAATGGAAACATGTCTATTAAGTTTCACAGAAATCATTTGGAGGGGCCTGTGTCTGGCCAACAGCGCGAGGGTTCCTGTGGTTCCAGGCTGGGCTGCCTGGTTGGTTTGGAATGGAGAGGGGCCAGTGTTCTCCCTGCAGCTGCCTGGGTCCCCCTTTACTGTGTACTTCTCCCAAAGCTGGGACTGTTTGTGGGCCCCTGGGGGCAGGCCTGCAGCAGGTAATGAGCTGACCAAAGGCGCGAGTCCTGTCAACCTGGAACGTTCTTCCCTGGCACTGGCTGCCCCATACACGGCAACAGAGTTCAGATTCCTGAGCCAATTTGGGAAAGCCAAGGGCACCCCAGTTTGCCAGCCTCAGAGGTAAACAGCATCCTCAGGCCCCACCTGAAAGAGGGAGGGGAACCAGAAAGGCCACCCTGGAGGGCAGTGGCCACCGGCAGACAAGACACCGGAAGGGGCAGAGAGTGGACTTGGCCAACCCTTGTCTGGAGTGGGTCCCGGCGCTGCCTCTCTCCTCTTCTCTGCAATTTTGAGCAAGGTCAGTCTCAGTTTCTTTCCCTGTAAAGTGGGGTGTTCGTGCTTAGCCTCTAGCAGCGTGGTCTGGGCTAAGCAAGAAGATGTGAGTAGAGGGTTTTGCGCACAGTAAGTGCCCGCAAATGTTATCGTGGGGGTGGTGTAGTGGGTTCAGGAAGGGAGGGTGTGTCCGCACAGAGGCTGGGTGCTGCGCTTCGTCTGACAGGTTGAGTGAAAATAAGTGAAGGAAGAGCGAGAACAGCAGCGGCCGCGCCTTTTACCTTTCCCAGGATGCTCTACATCTGTAATCTCCTTGTATCTCCTGAACAGTCATCTGGACTAGACAGGGTAGGAACTAGAACCCCCACTTGCAGATGGGGAAACTGAGGTGCATTGAGGCAGATAGTTGGGCCAACCCCATGGCCTCGTGTTAAGGAAGCTGGATCTCGCATAGCCAATTCTGGTTCAATTTTGGGCCCTGGTGGCCTAAAAAACATGCCGGTACGTGTGTGTCCATGTCCCAAATCCCAACAGGGTGGAGAAATGGAGAAGGGATTGTGGTGTGACCGTGCCCCAGCGAGGGCTACTTTCTCCCTTTTCCTCTCTCTGTCTTTGTCGAGCAACTTGCTCCTCCTCCTCAAACAACAAACAGACAAACAAACACAGAGATAGTTTAGCTCCTTGTTTCCTCAGAGATTAAGATTCAGACTAATTAGGATAGAGGATTTGTCACAGACTGCAAACCAATGACCCGGAGCCACGGAACCATGTAGTTGTCAGGCCTTTTCAGTTCTCCGATCTTCTGTAGACCATCCTTCCAGTGATGTCTTTAATGCCTTTCTCCCTCTCTCGCTCCTTCCTTCCTTTTTTTTTTTTTTAATTACTAAAGGGCCCATGTGCTTGTCATAGAGAGAGAGAGAGACAGAAAACACCCTCCCCCATGGGTTGTGGTCACACTGCAATTCTTTCTCCTCTCTCTTTTTTTTTTTTTTTTTTTTTTGAGAAGTTTTTGCTATAGGGTACGTGTGCTCACCAGACAGAGAGAGACAGAGAGACAGAAAGCGAGAAATCACCCCCCAGGGGGGATGGCCATGCTGCAATCCCTTCTCCTCCATTCTCCTCTTGGGATCTTAGGCATGCACACACACACGCCCGGCGTGAGTTTAAGCCACTGGGTCCGGGACTCGAACCATGGTTGACTACGTGGGCGTCCAGCGACATAGCCATTATGCCAACTGCTGGTCCCTCTTTTTCCTCTTATTTCTCCATCTCATCAGAATTTAGGGACATTCACACGTACCCAGCATATTTTTCGAGCCTCCAGGACTGGGATTTGAACCACAGTCAGCTATGCGGGGTCTGGCTCCTAAGGCACAGGGCTTAACCACTGTGACATACCTCTTTCTTTTTAATAATGGTGTGTGAGAGACAGGGAGAAAAACATGTGTTCCCAGTGTGTTTTCAGGCCATTCAAAGGATTCGAACTCACAGTTTGCCTTGTGGGCTCCAGCACTGCAGTCTGGTGTGCAACAGAGTTCACTACCTGCCTGGGCCTCGAATGCCTTTCTAATGCTTGGCAGTCTCACTTTTGGAAAGAGAGGCCAGGCCATACAACCAGAATTTGAGCCTGGATAGTTTGCATTCTCATAACCAGTATGATGATATAGTCTCCATTTAAAATATAATTATGTAAATTTCTAGAAAGTAAGCACATTTGGAGAAAGTAGTAAGGACTAAGAGAAGAAATGGTAGAGAAGATGCTAAAAATCATGAAAGTGACATGAATCTTTCAGAAACAAAATAAAACAAACTTAGTCCATAATCTGCACATGAGCAAAGAGGCTCAGAAAGGGAAGGGACCTGACCTCCTGGGCTGGGCGTGGGCAGCAGGTCAGAGAAGACCTTCTGGAAGGAGTGAGGACTGTCCTGAGTCTGAAGGAGTTGCCTTCCAGCTCTCTGGCCGAGGAATCTGACTGGACGGTGGGGCCATCACTGAGGTAGGGATGGGGGAGGAGCACGTTTCAGAAGTTGCTGAGTTGGATTTGATGTGCTAATGGTCAGTGTCTGAGGGACATCTGCTAATTGGAGGCCTCTGGGAGGCAGCTGCACACGTGAGTCTGGAGCTCTGGACCTATAGCAATCAGTTATCGCTGTGTAACGAGCCACCCCAAACCTGGTGCTATAAAACAACCATCACTTATCGCTCACACATCTGCATGTGGTCCATGTGAAGGATTCAGGCTGGGCTTCGCTGGTGGCTCTGCTTCAAGCTACAGGTCTGTAGGTCTGCGTGGCAGTCAGGTGGTGGCATTTGAAGGATGCTAACCTCCTCTGCTTTTGACCCTGACCTGAATGCTTCCCCTATTCCTCCATCCCTCCTTAGATCTATAGATGACATTTGAGTAAAGACCTGCAGGAAGTGAGGAAATGAGGAAGAGTATTCTAGGCAGAGAGAAAGCCAGTGCAAAGGCCCTTAGGTGAGATTGTGCCCAGTGTGTTTGAAGAAAAGGAGAGCAGGCTACATGGCTGGAGAGAGAGCGAAGGAGAAGGGGTAGGAGAGGAGGTCAGAGAGTTAGCAGCCATAGTCGCATGGGGCCTGGAAGGTCATGGGAAGTGGCCACTACCCTTATTGTTGCTGCTATTTCTTTGCATCCTTTCCTCCTGTCCCCCACAGGACCCTCCATCCCTGGACACAGCCATCCAGCATGCCCTAGCGGGCCTCTATCCTCCTTTTGAGGCCACAGCACCCACTATCTTGGGCCAGGTGTTCCGGCTCCTAGACTCTGACTTCCAAGGGGACGGGCTGAGCTTCCTCCTGGATTTCCTGATCCCTGCCAAGCGCCTGTGTGAGCAAGTGCGCGAAGCAGCCTGTGTAAGTTGGGAGGGAGGGACACAGGCCCAGGGACAAGCTCTCCCACAGGAGTGGAGGTGAGCCGAGGAGGGAGGCTGGGGTGGGTGCTGTCTCACAGGAAGAACTGAGGCTGTGGATGGTTTTCCAAGTGGCATCATTTGCCTGAGATGATATTAGCCCTTAAACAGGCAGGACGGTCATGTGACCTTCTAGCCTCTGACACCCAGGAGTCAGTTACATTCGCACTTTCACTAGTAGGAAGGCTTGAACAGAGGCGTTGTGGGGTGGGGGGGTCCCCTGGCCCTGAGGAGCCTGACCTGGGGCTGGCACTGTGGGCATTACCAGGCTGCCCCGGCTGAAGTGAAGTAGTGAATGACCCAGAGCGTCCCTGGAGGCCCTGAGACTCACGACTCTCACTTTCTTCCCTGGAGATCCCCCTCAATCCCAGATCTTAGGGACACCACTCCTGAGGCAAAGCAGAGAGAAAAGTGTTTTAGGCAGGACACGCTACAAAGACAGAATCCTCCTTCACTCGGACCATATATACATGTATGTCTTTTTCCCACTTAATCCTCCTGTCAACCCAGTAATACTGACATGTACTTTTAAAGTTTTATTTATTTATCTCTTCCATGAGCAAGAGAGAGAGACAGCACCTCCAAAAGGGTCTCAGTGTCCCTCCCAGCGTCAGCCAGCCCTGCATCATGGGCACACACATGCCCAGTGTACTCAGGGATGTCTTCACACATGAACCCAGAACCTTCCCACGTGGGTCAGCCTTGCAGAGTGTCGCGTTTTACTGACGCAGCACCAGCGAGCCCCACTGATGTGTATCTTTCCTATTGGTAGAGAGGGAAATGGAGGCTCAAAGTAAAACAATTGGCAGTTCACACAGATTAGCCATTTAGACCTTTGTCTAAACTCTGGCTGTTAAACTGGATGGCTGACTTGAGCTGGGATGGGAGAAGTTCTAGATAGATGGGGAGGAGGAGGGCACACTGGCCAGGCAAGACTGTCAAGGGAAAGGTACTTGCTGATTAGTGCCTGGCACTCTAGCCTCCCCTGGGCCAGGGGTAACGAGCATTTTCAAGGTCAGGCAGGGGCTAGGCGGAGGCAAGAGAGGCGCCCCTAACGTGACCCTCGGAGTGTGGCCTTGCTTTGGTCCTTGGTCTCTGGTCCCATCCAAGATTCATTTTGGGAGAGGAAAGGAGGCAGGTCCAAGGGTAGAGTCTCTCAGGATCCGATTCCCTGATGCCACCCTCTCTCCACAGGCCCCCTACTCGCACTGCCTCTTCCTGCACGAAGGCTGGCCGCTCTGTCTGCGGGATGAGGTTGTGGTCCACTTGGCACCCCTCAACCCCCTCTTACTGCGCCAGGGAGACTTCTACCTCCAAGTCGAGCCCCGGGAGGAGCAGTCTGCCTGCATCATGATCACGTGCCTCTCCCTGGACCTCCGCACAGTGAATAAGAAGCCTGTCCCCGAGTCAGCCTATCCTGGACTTTTCACCCAAGAATGGCTGGAGGCCATCAACAATGACTTTGAGGGAAGCCCCCTTCGCAACTGCCTGGTGGCTTCAGAACATGGGGTTGTCCCTGTGCCTTGGACCAAGATAACCAGCCCAGAATTTGTGGATGCCAGACCCCAAGCCATGGATGTCCTCTCCCCAGCTTGTGGGTCCCTTCAACTAGAAGCACTGGATGTGAGCAGCTCTCCAGGGCCACACCAGGCCAGGTCCCCAGGCACCCAGGAGTTTCTTGCCCAGAGCATGGCCGAGGGTAAGGGCAGGACACACAGACACAAGTATCCGGGACTTATCAAGGTAGAGCAGGCCAGGCCTGGGGAGGTGGCCCTCAGAATGAACAGTGTGGCCAGCCAGGACTTGGAGGGAGACTACGTGGCTCTCCTAGACTTTCCCCGAGAGAGCAGAGCAGAGTGTCCCAGGCAGGGGGTGGGGACAGCCAGTGGGTGTACTCCGGGAGCACTAGAGGAGCTCTCTGGGACTGAGGAAATTCCTCTCTCTCAAAGGATGCCGCCTGACCCAGAGGTCAGTGAAGAACCTTCCTTGGAAAAATGGGCAAAGCCAGCCAGCTCAGAGGGGGAGCCCTGCATTTTGGGCTTGAGGAGAAAGACCAACCGTAAAGCCTCCACCCATGACCCAGAATGGCAGCCCCAAGGGCCCTACGTCAATGTCCTTGATAACCCATTGAATGATGCCTGGAGCCTTGGGGCAGGTGTCTCAGAAGAGCCAGCTACCTCTAAGACTGAGGGACCTCTGGGACACCCAGAGACTGTGGGCCAGCTCAGGCCTGGACCAAGACGAGCCTCTTCTCCTCGCCTGTCTCCAGCTTCCCCTGCAGCTCCAGTTTCTAGAACAAAAATGGAGAAGAAGACCAAACAGGGAAACAGGAGGCTTCTCAAGCCCATGGCTTGCTCTAGTCAAAATACCTCCCCTTCTGGGTCTCCTACTCCTGGACTTAAATTCTCCTTCTTGAAAGGGCAGAGACAAACTCCTGGGCCCCCAGAGAAAGCCTCGCTCCAGCATGATGGGCCTTGGAAGGTCCTGTGTTCTCTCTATGCGTCTAAACCCACCCGAGCCAAGTCCGCGGTAAAAGGTAAGGCGTCTCCTTGCACAGGTGGACAGGGCTGAGATCAGGTTCCAGGTGGAGGCTGGTTAATTTCAGAGGTGTGGTACACACTGTAGCACGTTACAGGGCCTCAGCCACATGGGTCTGGAGCTGGGCAAGGGCCTGCGGCTGTGTTGTGAATGCCTGAGCTCACACCCCGCGTTGCCGCAAAGCTGCGTGGCTGTGTGACGCTGGCCGAGTACTTAACCTGTGCGACTCCAGGTCTCCCTATCTGTGCAATGGCGATCTCACCGACTTCACAGAGTTGTCCTAGGAGTTCAAAGCGATGTCAGAAGTAAGGAGCTTAGCACAACGCCTGGCGCATCGTAGGAGATCGACAGTTGTAAGCGAGGGTTATTAGTCACAAGCTGAAAGAGAAACATTTCGTCCTTAGAAAATCCACCTTCTGCTCAACATCCTTTTCTTTGTTGTTGTTTTTCCCCAGCTGGAACAACTCAGACTAGAACGTCTGGCTCAGCTGCTGACTCAGGCCCATTGACTGAGGAAAAGGCTGATTTCCCAGAAGCTTCCAGGACTTGGAGGGAGACTACGTGGCTCTCCTAGACTTTCCCCGAGAGAGCAGAGCAGAGTGTCCCAGGCAGGGGGTGGGGACAGCCAGTGGGTGTACTCCGGGAGCACTAGAGGAGCTCTCTGGGACTGAGGAAATTCCTCTCTCTCAAAGGATGCCGCCTGACCCAGAGGTCAGTGAAGAACCTTCCTTGGAAAAATGGGCAAAGCCAGCCAGCTCAGAGGGGGAGCCCTGCATTTTGGGCTTGAGGAGAAAGACCAACCGTAAAGCCTCCACCCATGACCCAGAATGGCAGCCCCAAGGGCCCTACGTCAATGTCCTTGATAACCCATTGAATGATGCCTGGAGCCTTGGGGCAGGTGTCTCAGAAGAGCCAGCTACCTCTAAGACTGAGGGACCTCTGGGACACCCAGAGACTGTGGGCCAGCTCAGGCCTGGACCAAGACGAGCCTCTTCTCCTCGCCTGTCTCCAGCTTCCCCTGCAGCTCCAGTTTCTAGAACAAAAATGGAGAAGAAGACCAAACAGGGAAACAGGAGGCTTCTCAAGCCCATGGCTTGCTCTAGTCAAAATACCTCCCCTTCTGGGTCTCCTACTCCTGGACTTAAATTCTCCTTCTTGAAAGGGCAGAGACAAACTCCTGGGCCCCCAGAGAAAGCCTCGCTCCAGCATGATGGGCCTTGGAAGGTCCTGTGTTCTCTCTATGCGTCTAAACCCACCCGAGCCAAGTCCGCGGTAAAAGGTAAGGCGTCTCCTTGCACAGGTGGACAGGGCTGAGATCAGGTTCCAGGTGGAGGCTGGTTAATTTCAGAGGTGTGGTACACACTGTAGCACGTTACAGGGCCTCAGCCACATGGGTCTGGAGCTGGGCAAGGGCCTGCGGCTGTGTTGTGAATGCCTGAGCTCACACCCCGCGTTGCCGCAAAGCTGCGTGGCTGTGTGACGCTGGCCGAGTACTTAACCTGTGCGACTCCAGGTCTCCCTATCTGTGCAATGGCGATCTCACCGACTTCACAGAGTTGTCCTAGGAGTTCAAAGCGATGTCAGAAGTAAGGAGCTTAGCACAACGCCTGGCGCATCGTAGGAGATCGACAGTTGTAAGCGAGGGTTATTAGTCACAAGCTGAAAGAGAAACATTTCGTCCTTAGAAAATCCACCTTCTGCTCAACATCCTTTTCTTTGTTGTTGTTTTTCCCCAGCTGGAACAACTCAGACTAGAACGTCTGGCTCAGCTGCTGACTCAGGCCCATTGACTGAGGAAAAGGCTGATTTCCCAGAAGCTTCAGCAGGACCCCCAGAGAGAGGCCCCGCCCTGGATGAGGCGCCCTCAGGGCCTGAGCCCAAGATTGGGGCTGTGGGTGTTGAAGTTTTCCACTCCAGGATAGCGTGCCTGCCAGGTTCTGGGGGGTCAGGGGGAAGGGTGGAAGTGGAGAGGAGGGTGTTGGAGTTGGTGGGGGCACATCCCAGGGCATCCTCAGTGCTGATGGGTGGAAGAGAGGCATCTGCTCATCTGTCCATACGTCTGTCTTCCGTCTGTCTTCCGTCTGTCTGTTCATTCATCTGCCCATTCTCCATATTCTACTGAGGCAGCCACGGTGGATGCCTGAGACGTGGAGAGTGACTTTATTGGAGAATGGTCGGGAGAAGGGGCTGGAGGGCAGAGGACAGGGCAGAGACAGGACCGAGCCAGGCTGGGGCCGGATGGTGGGGGGAGTCTGGAGATCGAGTTACAGCACAGAGCTGGCACCATCTTCAGAGGGCTGGCCTTTTACTTGCCCGGCTTTGCCAGCCATGAACTGCAGGCTGATCCTGGCTCTGTCAGTCACTAAGTGCAGGCGGACCCTGAGTTGGCGTCACAGGGGGAGCCCTTAGCCGGCCCAGCCGAGGACAGTTCAGAGAAGGGCCCCTGTGAGCCATTTACGGCGGTACTTCCAGCCTGGGAGTCCACTGCTGGGGGCGCTGGGGAGGAATCCACGACATCTGACACAGAAGCATTATCACTCCTGCTTAATATTTATTCATCATTCTACCAAATAGTCACAGAGCTCAGCCTTGGCACTGGGGACTCATCTGAGAACAAGTCTAACGTGTTCTGTACTCTCAGGAAACCTGTATCTAGTGGCGAACATTCAACAGGCTGGATGGCAGGTTATTATAAGCCAGTGTTAAGGAAACTGCGATGATGGGCAAGTCCAGGGGGCCGTGCGAGCACAAGTAACCCTGGCCCAAGTGGAGGGCTGGGAGAGGTCCTGGAGGAAGTCATGTAAGGCTCAGTCGTCCAGTGGGCGTTAACCAGGTAAAGGTTGGGAACAGTGTTCCAGACAGAGGGAACAGCGTGTGCCAAGGTCTGGGGGCAGGAGAGACCACAGAGCTTTCTGAGAGTGGGCTGTCCTGCCATTCTGCTTCATCGTGTAGGCTCGTACATCTTCGCAGGACCATGGGCACGGCCCTGTCTTTCTGTAGCTCCTGGAGAGCGTCATCTGTCCTTTTCCCGGTCATCTCTGCCGAAGCTCTTGTTGCTTGTTCCCATATTAATGGTACACATAGAATCTCGTGATCTTCTTAGGGCAGTTATGTCCCCAGGGTTCAGACTTTGTACGTTGAAGGATCCTGCTCTGGGAGAAACGAGACCTTCACCGTAGTTCCGTCTCTAACACCAGCTCCCTGCGTGGCCTCAAAGGAGCCATTTGCCCTCTCTGTGCCTCAGGCCCCTACTTGTGTAAGAGGAGAGGAGGGCAGGTAGGACCTGGCTCACTGTCGCTCCACAATTATTTTTATAATTCCTGTGAGTTACAACATACATCGATGGGCTCCAAGTCCCCCTGCATAGTATACATCCCAAAACATGTGTCAAAGGTGTTCAAAAAGTGTTTGTTGGGTCAGTGAACAGGATCCACATGGATGTGCTTTTGGTTCCTGTTGTTTGAGGAACTTGTCTAGTGATCTCGTCCTTATGTACCAAACTCCTCCTCCCATGGCCAGCCCCATACTCAGTGCTCCCTTCTTGGTTCCAGCGCCAGGACGCCCTCCCCTCCATCACTGCTCCCTCTCTTCCCAGCTCTCCTGCTCCCCCGGTGTTAACAACCTTTCATCTCCCAAGACCTTCGGCCTGTCGATCTAACCTCTCACCCGTAGATCTCGTTTCACCTCTTGAGTCCCGAATGACGCCCCCACTGTCCTGAACGATGACCTCAGAGCTTCTCTCTCCTCTGACCTTCTACGCCTTCCCTGACTTTACACTGATGGCCTTTCTTCTGGTCTCATGGAGTGAGCAGAAGCAGTCGAAAGGAAGTGCCAACTCCTGCCTCCACCTGCACTGCTATGGCATTTGTGCCCACGTGCCAGCATTCTGCTGTGGATCTACCATCTGTGTTCCTTATCTAAGGCTGACCTGGCCACTGGAGCACGTCTCCTCTCTTCCCCAGCTGGGCACCTTTCCTCCTCTCGGTTGGATCATTCCCATCGTCTGAACTAAGCCCTCCCCCCCCACCTTGGCCCCATTCTTCTCTTTTACTTACATCAAAGCTCTGCAGAGGTCTTGTCTGTGCCCCTGCCGTGCACGTTCTGTCCTCTCCCTTCAACAGTTCACTAATCAGAAGTCCTTCTCCTCCTTGACATTGAGACAGGCCTTGTCCAGGTCACCAGTGACTTTCGTGTTCCTGGAGCCAGTAGTCAATTCTCAGTCCTCATTGTCCTTGACCTGTCTGCAGCCTTGGACACAGGCGAGCACCCCTTCTTCTTAAAATGCTTACATCACTTGCCTTTCAGTTCACACTCACCTGGCTTTCCTCCTGCCTCACTAGCCACCCCGTCTCCACCTCCACTGCGGTCTCCTCATCTGCAACGCTTAGTCCTTGGTCCCCTTCTCTGCTCCATCCCTCCCACTTTCTAGCAGGTCTCATCTAGGAAATTGTGCCTTTCTTTCCATTGCTATCTGCATGCTCACAGCCCTGCACCAGATGCTCCAGCTCGGATCCTGCCCATGAACTCTAGGCCCTTCCAACCGTCTCCTCGATGTCCCTCAGTTGCCTCGCAGGCTCCTCTGACTTCACACATCCAAATGTGGACCCCTGATCTCATACCGCTCCACACTTTCCAGTCTTCTCATCCTTCCTCATGACGGTGAGAGAAGGCAGCTCCCTCCTTGATTGCTCTGTCTCCTGTAACCCACATTTGATGTCGATGCCTCCTGCCAGCTCACCCATCACATCACACCCAGAATCTGATAGTTCCCACCACCCAGGCTCAAACCAATACTATCTCTTGCATACTGAAGCTGTCTCCTCCGTGGTCTGTCTGCCTCTCCCTTGCCTCCATCAGGGTTTCCTTATAGCCCAAACATTCCCCACAGTCCCCACAGTCCCCACAGTCTGTGCTCCAAGGCCAGACGCTGCCCCCGGGGCAGTCCTGGGAAGTAGGCATCCCGGTTCCCCTCTCCAGATCTTTTCCTCACCTTCTCCTGGCCTCAGTACCATAGCGCCCCCAGCTTTCCATAACCATCTGTCCTTAGGGACGAAACTGCCAGCTCTAAGGTGTGAGTGACTGCTCCCACGCCGGGCTGGGCTTGTGTTCTAGCAGGCCCTCGTTGTCTACGGTGGCTATAACAAATTAGCACCAAGCGGCTCAAACAACACGTTTATTATCTCATGGTTCTGCAGTTAGAGATCTGACATGGGTCTCAGGTCTCACTGGGCTAAAATAGAGGGTTGTTCTTTCCTGGAGGTTTCAGGGTATTGTGCATCTCCTGCCTTTTCTGGCTCCCAGAGGCTGTCTTTAGTCCGTGGCTCTGGACGCTCTCCTCCATCTTTGGAGCCAGCAAGCTGCATCTCTCAGGCCCTTCACCATCTCCTCACCTCGTTCTGACCAGAGCCAGGGAGAGTTCTCTGCCTGAAAAAATTCACAGGATTAGATTGGATAATCCAGGATAGCCTCCCCATCTCCAGGTCCTACCCTACCACCCATATCTGCATATGACAAGATTCAGGGACCAGCAGGTGGCACAGTGGTTAAGGTACTAGACTCACACATGGCCAACCATGGTTCGAGTCCTGGACCCAGGGCTTGAAACTCATGCTGGGGGCATGCGCGTGCATGCTAAAGATCCCAGGAGGAGATCATAGGGGAAGGGACTGTGGCATGGCTATCCCTCCTGGGGAGTGAGTTCTTACTCTCTGTCTCTCTGGCTAGAGCTTGCACTCTACAGCAAAAATCACTCTTTAAAAAAGGAAAGAAAAAAGAAAGAAGATTCAGAACCTGAATCTTCTCGGGTTCTTCAGACTGGGGCATGAACATCTTGGGGGCCATTACTCTGCCTTCCGTGGGCACAAAGCCTTTCAGGAGGGTTTCTCAGTCTTTCTACCAAAAATCCATGCTGTAGGAGAGAGCGAATAGGGGTCAGGGCTGGGGACTTCACCTGAACTCTCAGTTTCTCTGTACTTATCTTTTTTTTTGGAGAGTTTTTGCTATAGGGCACGTGCGCTCATCAGAAAGAAAGAGAGAGACAGAGAGACAGAAACCGAGAAATCACCCCCCAGAGGGGATGGCCATGCCCCAATCCCTTCTCCTCCATTTTCCTCTCAGGATCTTGGACACACACGGACATGCATCCAGTGTGAGTTTAAGCCACCGGGTCTGGGACTTGAACTGCAGTCGACTACATGGGAGTCCAGTGACATAGCCATTACACCAACTGCTGGTCCCACTCTATACTTATCTTTGAAGTCTTTTGTGTCTTCCAAACTTCTGTATATTTCTCATTCTGATTAAGAATGCATTCACACTTGCTTGGATATAAAAAATGCTTTACATTGCTGGCAAATTAAATGACTCTTACCTCTTATTGCCCCCCCTTGGAGTGACTGCTGTTGCTGGCAGGTACATGCTTTTCAGCAGCTTTGAGAAACCTGTATCTACTCCCACCACTCTGCCTGCCATCCCCATCATTCCCACCTGAGACTTACATCAGTGTGTACAACCGGTTTCAAGCCAGGGCTCTGAGGCGCTGGTGATAATGTTTCTGGTGCCAGCTGTCAGGTGAAGGCGAAGTTTGAGCAGAGGAGTTTCTTTGACCTCGCCGAAAGCAAATCATGTAGACAGCCACCTGCCACTGCAGTGAGCTCGGCTGTGTGCAGAGTCCTGATGAAGGCAGAGTTCGGAGGGAACGGGACACATGAGCTGATCGTGGGATTGCTGTGTCCTGGTGTGGAATGGCTGGGTGCTGGAACCTTCAAGTGTGGTCTGGTAACCCTTCACATCAGCCTCACCTTGGAGCTAGGGAGAGAGAGATGCAGAACCTCAGGCCTGCTAAAACAGACTGTGTGTTCCAGGCAGATCTCCAGGTCCCTGGAAGTTGGGAGGCATTGCTCCAACCCTCCAGTCCTCAGTCCACCGCAGACGTTGGTGACCTCACCCAGTCTTGTGCTGAGGCCGGGTTCCAGTGGAATGCAACCCAGAGGACACCCACGGAGTTCTGAGTCTTGCAGGAGCTGATAGAGGCCTGTGTTTGCTATGGCAACCTGGGGATAGGGAAGGGCTTCTAGAAGAATAGGGAGTAAGGGGACCAGCAGTTAGCATAATGGCTATGTCGCTGGACTCCTACATAGTCGACCAAGGTTCGTGTCCCGGACCCGGTGGCTTAAAACTCATGCCAGGTGCGTGTCCGTGCATGCCCAAGATCCTGAGAGGAGAATGGAGGAGAAGGGATTGCAGCATGGCCATCCCCCCTGGGGGATGATTTCTCGCTTTCTGTCTCTCTGTTTCTCTCTGTCTGTCTGGCGAACGCACGTGCCCTAAAGCAAAAACCTCTCCAAAAAAAAAAAAAAGAGTAAGGAAGTCTTCTTGGAGGAGGCAGCATCTTGGCTGGGTACTGAGAGATGAGGGAGATTGGATGTCACCAGGTTGGAATGGGAGGTAAGTGAGTACTTGGCCAAGGGACAGAGTAAACAAAGTAAGCTGGTCTAGGGCATGACAGGTGGCCCTTTCTGGCCAGGCCACAGGTGATGAGGGGAGGCGTAGTGTACCGGTCTGCATGGGCTGCCACAGCAGAGTACCACAGAGCAGGGGCTTGGCCAGCACACTTGTATTTCCTCCCAGTTCTGGAGGCTGGACGCCCAAGGTCAGGGTGTGGAAAGGCTGGCTTCTCGGAGGCCTGTCTCCTGGGTGTGTAGATGACTGCCTGCCCTCTGTGTCCTCCACAGCCATCTCCTTGTGTCCAGATCTTCTCTTGTCAGGGCCCTGGTTATATTATATTAGGGCCCTCCTTAAAGACTTGGAAGAGGTCACTAATTACCTCCTTAACAACCCTATCTCCAAACGGGAGCATTATTAGGTTACGACTTCAGCACGTGGATTTGGGAGGTGGGAGATGTAACCCCTAACACAGTGTGTGAAACAAGGCTGGAAGAGTGCGCAGGCTAGGGAACTTCAGTGCCAGGCTGGGAAGCTGGCACACTCTCCTCAAGGCCACGAAGAGCCACAGAAGGTGTTAGAGCAGGAGAGTAGTACCATCAGACCTGTGATTGGGCATAGCCCCAGGCTCACAGCAGACAGAAGCTCATCTCTCCATGTGGCCCAGGTCAAAGGGTGAATCAGGCAGGACCCCGATCCCCTAGATAGGGTGGGGACCAAGGCCCACGGGGGCCTGGGAAGCTGTTGCCCTGCTCCATGCCTCCATTTTTTGGCCAGTACAATGGACCTGGGGACATGAGGTGGCATTTTCTCATCTATAGGACTCAATAACCATGATAAGATTTTTGGAGGGACATGTACAAACACCTCCAACTTTGCAAGTTATAACATTTTTTCATGGTTTAATTATTTCACTTAAAAAAAAACCTTCTATTTTATAAAAATGATTTATTTGGGACCAGCAGATGGCATAGTGTTTATGTCACTGAACTACCATATGGCTGACCACAGTTCAAGTCCTGGACCTGGTGGTTTCAAACTCACACCAGGTGCGTGTGTGTGTGCACCCAAAATCCCAAGAGGAGAATGGAGCAGAAGGGATTACCGTGTGGCCATCACCCCTGGGGATAATTTCTCACTTTCTCTCTCTCTGTCTTTCTGACAAGCACACACACCCTATAGCCAAACTCTCAAAAAAAATTAATTTAATTTAACTTATTATTATTATTTAATTTGCTATAGGGCACATGCACTCACCAGAGAGAGACAGACAGAGAGAGAGGGACAGGGAGAAAGCAAGCCACCAGGTCCAGAGCTCAAACAGTGGTCAGCCATGTGTGGTCAGTCCAGAGCTTTAACCTCCACACCACCTGCCGGACTCTCTTTTGTCTTTTTCTTAACTTTTCTTTTTTGATATTTCTTTTCTTTTCTTACCTTTTGTTATGAAATTGTTCAAACATACGGAAACACGGAAGAGTGTCACCGACACCATGGGCCTCTTACCCAAGTTTACTAAAGCTTAACATTTTGGCATCTTTCATCTAGTTTTGAAATTTACAAACAGAAGCCAAGAGTCAAACCCATAACATCAAGGGAATATAAAATTTCCACATATACATGGACGCTTCAAAAAGTTCACGGAAACGTGTCTTATGAAACCATTATGCATGGATTTCTGATTTTTTATTTGCACCAGAAAAAAATTCATCTTTTATGTTTACTTTCCATGAACATTCTGAAGTCCTCTGATATGTGTATGTATCTACACACACCACACAAATAGGTATGTGTGTACATATAGACTTATTGCCAGAGAACACCTGTGCTGGCCAGAGAGACAGGTAGAGAGAGGAAGAAGGCGCTTCCCAAGGGGCACGGCCATGCTGCAGTTTCCTCTCTATTTCTCAGTTCTGTCAGCATTTGGGGTGCACACACATATGCACCCAGTGTGTGTTTCTGTCTTTAAATTTTATTGGTTATTATTCTAATGTTTAAGACTTGCTGTAGGGTACATGTGCTCACCAGAGAGAGAAAGAGAGGGAAAGTGAGAAAGCAAGCCACCAGATCTGGGACTCAAACTGCGGTCGGTCATGTGGGAGTTCAGCGCCTCCACCAGCATGCCACCTGCTGGCCCCTAAGCGTGTTTTTTAAGCCACCTGGGCTAGGGTTGGAACCTCATGGTTGGTCATGTAAGATCTGGCCCTGTAACCACTAGGCTATAGAGCTGGCTCACAAATGTACATTTTAAATTTTAAATAACGTCGAATTCTGAAGAGACGTGGAAACGATTGTTCCAGGTGGTTGGACCTCTGTGCCGGGCAGCGCTTGGGAGGGTGGCTGAGTTTATCTAAGGCTTCACGAGCTGTAAAGGTTGTGCCACGTGGCGGTCATGGCAGGGTCGCCCTGGATGAGATGATTCTGGAGTGCAGGGCTGTGGGGTGTGGGACAGGTGCAGTTTGTAGAGTCCTGGGCCTCCTTTCCTCCTGCTGGACTTTCCCCGCCACGCCCTCCCGGTGCAGATGGGCTGTGCTGACTCCCCGGGCCTAGGCCTCAGGATCCCTGTGGGGAAAGTGGGGCACACAGCTCGGATTCCTGGAACAGGAAGTAGCCTGTGGAGAACCCACGGCCGAAGTGTGCAAGGACCGACAGTGACTGGTGGCCGCAGGCTGCACGCTCACCACAGCGGAGGCTCGGGGCAGAGCAGAGAGGACAAGCGCTGTGATGGCCACCACTCAGCGAGCCCCGCCGTGGGTGCACTGCTTCTCAGGAGCGGTCTCCTCTAAACCTCAGCATAACCAATAAGCTCCGTGTTTTATTAGCTCCGTTTAACAGATGAGGAGACAGCGGAGAAGCACTGACCTGCCCCCAGGCACACGGCCAGCCACTGAGGATGGGGGACTTAGAGCCCTGTCTGTATGACCCCAGAGCTCGTTCGTGATTTGGTCTGGGGTGGGGGGTGAGGCTGCTTCTGCGTGGAGGAGGGATTCAGGGAAGACTTTTCTCAGGGTTTTGAAGGGTAAATAGGAGTTCCGAGTTTACAGGAGGGAAAGGGCATTTCGGGCAAAGGCTCCATCAGCGATCCCCTTGCTCACATGTACCTTTTCTCCTCCAGGTGGTCGGGACAGGGCAGGGCGGCCCCTGCTTCTGGTGTCCACTACAGAGGGAGCCTGGGAGGCCCCGTGGTGCACGGCCCCGGAGGTCACCAAGCTGCTCTCCTACTTGTGCTCGGTCCCCAGGTAAGGGGTGGGGCCCCCTGACGGCTCCATCCCCTCCTTCACCCTCTAGGCCCAGATCCCTGGACCCCACACTGGGTCGAAGTAGAGAAGCTCCGTATCCTTCCATCCAGTCACCAGGGCCTCCCCATAGCAGGCCCTGCCTCAGGGCTTCCAGGCTGCCGGTGGACAAGTCCACAGAGGCTGGTGAGACCTGGGACGCGAAGTCAGAGAGCTGGCGTCACAGCCCCCTCTCGCTGCCACTTCACCTCTCTGTGCCTCAGTTTCCCCCATGGAGGGCTTTCTGGGGAGGGCATTGGAACTCGGGCTTGCAGGATGAAGAGGTCGCCAGTAAATCAAGGCTTCTAGCAGCCAGTTTCCCCTTCCACAAGGTCTTTCCCCGACAGCCCCAGGCCACGCAGCAGGACTGCCAGCTCTGTGTGTCACCCACAGGTCCGAAGATGCAGCCAAGGGGCTGGTGGTCGTGATTGATGCCAGCAAACAGCCCCTGCATCCTGGTCTGGTCCGTGCCCTGCAGGCCACCCAGGTAAGGGGGAGATGGAGCGCCTTGGCTTAGCAAGTCTTGGGAGCCACCCGGGGACTCCCGACTGGAGCCTGAATGACTCAGAACTTGGAACCAGGACCTCCAGGCAGAGACTTTTAGTGGCAGCTAACAGAAAAGCCAGCCCAAACAGGCTTAAAAATGAAAGAAAGTCGTGCATTTATGTAACTAGATGATCCAGGAGTTAAATTTGGCTTCAAGTATGGCTTGATCTAGGGGCTCAAATATTGTCACCAGGACCTGGCTCCTTTCCCAATTTCTGGACCCATTCTCCTGGGAGGGTGCTATTCTTAGCCAGCACCGTTCTCGGTGGCAGCTCTAACTTTGCGTGGTCCTTGTTTCCATCCAGTGGGAAAGAATGAGGGATTATTTTTCTCAGAGGTCTCTGCAAACGTTTCTTTGTGTCTCGTTGGGCCTTGTTGGCTCAGGTGTCCCTCCATCAGGCAGTCCCTGTGGCCAGGGGGATGTGGCACACCGAGTGGAGCATAGAAACCCTGTGATCTAAGAAGGACAGAGGGGGACCAGCAGTTGGCATAATGGCTATGTCGCTGGACTCCCATGTAGTTGACCGTAGTTCGAGTCCCAGACCTGGTGGCTTAAACTCACACTGGCGCGTGTGTGTGTGCGTGCGTGCCCAAGATCCCAAGAGAAAAATGGAGAAGGGATTGTGGTATGGCCATCTCCCCTGGGAGGATGATTTCTCACTTTCTCTCTCTGTCTTTCTGGGGAGCGCACGCACCCTATACCAAAAACCTCTCAAAGAAGAAGGATGGAGGGAAGAGACTCCTAACCAGCCAAATGCAGCAGAGTAAATGGAGGCTTACGTCATGGTCTGGCCTCCTTGCTTTACAGATGGGGAAACTGAGGCCCAGAGGGGCGGGTCATCTAGGAAGGTCTGCAGCACGGCTTGGCCCTGCTGCTCTCCTGACTTCCCATGACTCACTCTCCAAACACATCCCACAGAAACCCCAGGCCTGGGACCTGTAGATGTCATAATGATTATGTCGCTGGGCTCCTAGGTAGTCTATGGTGGTTTGAATCCTGGACCCGGTGACTTAAAACTCACGCCAGGCATGGCGGCCGGGGGACAAGTCCACAGAGGCTGGTGAGACCTGGGACGCGAAGTCAGAGAGCTGGCGTCACAGCCCCCTCTCGCTGCCACTTCACCTCTCTGTGCCTCAGTTTCCCCCATGGAGGGCTTTCTGGGGAGGGCATTGGAACTCGGGCTTGCAGGATGAAGAGGTCGCCAGTAAATCAAGGCTTCTAGCAGCCAGTTTCCCCTTCCACAAGGTCTTTCCCCGACAGCCCCAGGCCACGCAGCAGGACTGCCAGCTCTGTGTGTCACCCACAGGTCCGAAGATGCAGCCAAGGGGCTGGTGGTCGTGATTGATGCCAGCAAACAGCCCCTGCATCCTGGTCTGGTCCGTGCCCTGCAGGCCACCCAGGTAAGGGGGAGATGGAGCGCCTTGGCTTAGCAAGTCTTGGGAGCCACCCGGGGACTCCCGACTGGAGCCTGAATGACTCAGAACTTGGAACCAGGACCTCCAGGCAGAGACTTTTAGTGGCAGCTAACAGAAAAGCCAGCCCAAACAGGCTTAAAAATGAAAGAAAGTCGTGCATTTATGTAACTAGATGATCCAGGAGTTAAATTTGGCTTCAAGTATGGCTTGATCTAGGGGCTCAAATATTGTCACCAGGACCTGGCTCCTTTCCCAATTTCTGGACCCATTCTCCTGGGAGGGTGCTATTCTTAGGCAGCACCGTTCTCGGTTGCAGCTCCAGCGTTTCCTTGTGTCTCGTTGGGCCTTGTTGGCTCAGGTGTCCCTCCATCAGGCAGTCCCTGTGGCCAGGGGGATGTGGCACACCGAGTGGAGCATAGAAACCCTGTGATCTAAGAAGGACAGAGGGGGACCAGCAGTTGGCATAATGGCTATGTCGCTGGACTCCCATGTAGTTGACCGTAGTTCGAGTCCCAGACCTGGTGGCTTAAACTCACACTGGCGCGTGGGTGTGTGCGTGCGTGCCCAAGATCCCAAGAGAAAAATGGAGAAGGGATTGTGGTATGGCCATCTCCCCTGGGAGGATGATTTCTCACTTTCTCTCTCTGTCTTTCTGGGGAGCGCACGCACCCTATACCAAAAACCTCTCAAAAAAAAAAAAAAAAAAGAAAAAGTAGAAGAAGAAGAAGGATGGAGGGAAGAGACTCCTAACCAGCCAAATGCAGCAGAGTAAATGGAGGCTTACGTCATGGTCTGGCCTCCTTGCTTTACAGATGGGGAAACTGAGGCCCAGAGGGGCGGGTCATCTAGGAAGGTCTGCAGCACGGCTTGGCCCTGCTGCTCTCCTGACTTCCCATGACTCACTCTCCAAACACATCCCACAGAAACCCCAGGCCTGGGACCTGTAGATGTCATAATGATTATGTCGCTGGGCTCCTAGGTAGTCTATGGTGGTTTGAATCCTGGACCCGGTGACTTAAAACTCACGCCAGGCATGCATGCATGTGTGCCCCAGATCCCGAGAGGAGAATGGAGAAAGGATTGTGGCGTGGCCATCCACTCAGGGCGATTTCCCTCTTTCTGTCTCTCTGGTGAGCACACATGTTTGATAGCAAAAGCCTCTCTAAAAAAAGAAAAGAAAAGAAAAGAAAAGAAAAACCCCAGGCCTGGGGGTGCCGCGCCACCCCTGTGGCCCATTTGCCTGTACCTTAGTGGGGAGGAGGAGGAAACGAAAGGGCTCAGTGAAGTCCTGGGCGGAGCAACTCTGCAGTGGTTTTCATTCCCAGGTGCTGCTCCCAGCCTCCATCGGGGCCATTCTCCTCCTGGGGGACAAGGAGGCTGCCCTCCAGCTGCAGGCCTTACCTGACGTCCAGGTGAGCGGGAGGCAGTGCTGGGGGTTGAAGGGAAGAGTGCCTGGGCTCGAGCTGAGCTGGGGTGTCAGGGATGAAGAATGCAGACTCCATGAATGAGAAGAAGCCGGGTGAGAACCTAGCATAGGGCAGTGTGGAGGAGGCCCAAGCACTGCAGGTCTTGGGTCCTGCCCCCAGAGCAGGCATTGCAGACCAGTCATCGAACATGCTCTCTTGGCTGTCCTAGCAACTCCTGGCATGCACTGACCTGCGACTGAGAGGTGCACCTGGCTTGCAACGTACTGCAAAGCTGCACCTGGTCGGCCCCTACCCCTTTCTTTTCAGATGGGGGAGCTGAGGCTTAAGCAAGCTAGACACAGAGCTGGTCTTCTTTTCCACACTGCAGCCCAGCCCAGCTCTTCCTGCTTTTCTCTCCCTAATTAATACAGACGTAGAGTTGGTTCGGGACTTTGCAGGGAAGTGCCCTGCAGCTCCTTTTAATTAGTGCCATATACGTGGCACTGTATGGGCGTGGGTGCCCAGCCCTCTGCCCTTCTTTGAGTAGTGATTGAAAAGGTCTCCTTCCTCCTGGGTAGTAAAGAGGTACGTTGTGAACTGGAGCTGTGCTTTCCAAACATTCACGTGTCTGTGACCTTGATAATGTGCTGCTTCTGATGAAGTTGTTCTGGGTGGGGGCTGGGATTCTGTGTTACTGTACTTTTTTAAGATTATCACCTTGCCAGAGAGAGACAGAGAGAAAGAAAGTGAGAAATCATCCCCTAGGGAGGCTGGCCATGCCGTAATCCCTTCTCCTCCAGTCTCCTCTCAGGATTCAGGGCACACATGCACACGTGCCCAGCATGATTTTCAAGCCACAGGGTCTGGGACTCAGACCATGGTCAGCCATGTGGGAGTCCAGTACCTTAACCACCACTCCACCTGCTGGCTCCTCTTTACGTTTTAAAAACTCACAATAGAGCTCATGCATGCACACGTGAGCAAGAGAAATATATGAGCACTCTCCACAGGGCCTAATCACATAGCAATCCTCTTCCTCCAGCCCTCCAGCCTGTCAGATTCTGGATCCTCGAGTGTATGCCCAGTATGTTTCAGGCTGATCAGGGCAGGGATTTGAACCCTGGTCGCCGTGTGAGCTTCTCTTGAGTAGTACGTTACTGCTGCTCCACAAAGCCAACCTGGATTCTGCATTTCTAAAATGCTCTGCTCCTGGGCGATGATGGTGCTGCTGGCCCATGGGGCACACTTTGAGTAGTAGGGATAACAAGCCTTGGGATTGGCTTGGTATCTAGAGCAATTCCCAGCATAAACCTCAAGTTTTACTGTCCAGGAGAAATAGTCATCTAACCCCTCCTTTATTAGGGGACACTGTTAGGATTTAGCGACCTTATTTTACCAGTCCCAAGAAGACAGCACCTTGGTGGGACACCAGAGATCAATACAAAGATTATAAAGAACTTTCATCACAAGGGCCAACTTTGATCAGTTTGTGAGATTCCCTAGAAAGCAAGCTCAGTGGGAACAAGCACCAGGATCGATTGATGATGTCTGCTTTGGGCACAAGCTAAGAGAGTGGCAATATGAGTGCTGTTTATTTGCTGTTCCTTAACCAGGTTCTGGTTCTACATTTGGATTTGTCAAATCCTCTAGAGAAGGATTGCCCAAAAGGCTGAGAGCTGGAGCTTAATCTTACCTAGTACTAGGGTAGGGATCTGGGCTGGATCTTCTTGAATGTCCATCCCCACACTGAGTTCCCTGGTCCTCCTAACTCACTTCTTTTGTCTGCAGGTGGAGATGCTGACCTCACTGAAGGCCCTCAGCTACCACGTGGATCCTAACCAGCTGCCTGAAGCCCTGGAAGGCCCCTTCCCCTACTGTCACAGCGAGTGGGTGCAATTCTTCCAGGTGGCTACCATCACGGCCTCCAGTCTCTGGCCTCATCCTTCCCTTCTTTCTATCGCTACCCTGCCCCCTGGATCCGTCAGCTCCGTTAGGTTAAAAGCAAACACACAGACATTCAACAAATATACAGGAGGAAGGTGCAGAGTGGAATGATTTAGAGCTCAGCCTCTGAGGCCAGACTCCTGAGTTCCAATCCCAGCTCTGCTGAGCCTTGGTTTCTTCATCACGAGAGTGGAAGGTAATGATAGGACCTCCTCATGGAGTTTCTGTGTGGAGAGTAATTAAGTTCATGTGGATACAGAACTCAGAAGAGTGTCTGGCATGCACTGAGGGCTACGTCTGTGTTGACGGAAAAGAAATGTATGGGCATCTGCTGTGCAGACCCACAGGACTCCAGAGCTTGGGGTCTGGTCCGGGAGGCAGATGTGCTCCTCCTGCAGGAGGGAGGAAATAAGGAAAGCTCCCCTGCAGGGTTGCTTTCTCACCCCACCCACGAGGGCGCATGTCATGGCCAGTTTAACACACGAGGACTCAGGGTGGGGCTGACCTGCACAACAACGTGTAGGTTATAGGCTTAAATCACAAGCACCTGTGCCCGTAAGTGCCCATCGGGGCTCCTGCCAGACCTGGGGCTGCCCACCCTCTGCCCGTCACATGTGGGGCTGGGAAACCCCCTCTGGTCAGCAGCCAGCTTGTGCACTGTGGCATGGTTAGCACCACCCCTGGCCTCACCCACTCTGCGACAGCCACACCCCGCAAACTATGACCACCCAAAATACCTCTAGGCATTGCCAAATATCCCCTGGGAGACAAAGCCACCCCAGCCCTTCCCCGATGAGAACCACTGGTTTACACTAACCCATGGTTAGTGGTGGACCCTTTGCTCTGTGCCTAGCGGATCATTTTAAAATCGTGTCTGTTTTTGCATAGGCAGTATGTTCGAAATTCAAGGAGTGTGAAGGGAATACACTGAGAAAATCTCCCTTCCTACTTGTCTCCCAGGTCCCCAGATCCCTTCTCCAATCAATCCAGTAAGCTTTTCTTTTCTTTTCTTTTTTTCTTTTCTTTTCATTTCTTTTTTTCTTTTCTTCTTTTCTTTTCTTTTCTTTTCTTTTCTTTTCTTTTCTCTTCTCTTCTCTTCTCTTCTCTTTTCTTTTCTTTTCTTTTCCTTTTCTTTCTTCTTTTCTTTTCTTTTTAGATTTTGCCATAGGGTGTGTGTGCGGGCAGAGAGAGACAGAGAGAGGGAAAGTGAGAAATCACCCGCTAGGGGAATGGCCATGTCACAATCCCTTCTCCATTCTCCTCCTAGGATTTTGAGTGCACATACATGCATGCATACGTGCCTGATGTTTTTCAAGCTGCCGGGTCTGGGACTCAAGCTGCGCAATTGAGATCTAGTAAGATCTAGTGCCTTCACCACCACGCCACCTGCTGGCCCCTTGAATTATATTTTAGCTTTAACTTTTTCTTTATTCATGACAGAGTGTGTGCACAGGCGCATGTGAGTGAGAGAGAGGAGCAGCCTCCACAGGGTCTGGTCACACTGTCATCGCCTTCCTCCAGCCCTCTGGCCTATTGATCTTGGGCACTGGCGTCTGTGTTCAGTGTGTCTCAGGCTGACTGGGCTGGGGATTTGAACCACAGTGGCCATGTGGGCTCCAGCTTCTCCTGGGCATTACATTCCCATTGCACCATGGAGCTGTCCCTATTTTAGCTTTAAAATCTTTCTTTTAAATGGACAACCAGACCCAGAATGACTGGAACAGAGATGGATCTGGTGTGGAGACTCTGTTGGGGATATTTCTCTCTTGCTCTCTCTGAAGAAATAAATACATAAATAATCCAACAATCCAAATCTCAGTGGTTTAACAAAACAAAGTGTGTATATATTTTGTTTTGAAAAAGATCAACAGCTGGCCTGGCCTTGGCAACACTGTTGGTAGTGTACTGAACTGCAGTGCTGGAAGCCACAGGTCGGCTGTGGGTTCAGATCTCTGGCCCAGTCAGCCTGAAACATGCTGAGCATGCACACACGTCTGAGACCCTGGTGAGCTGGGAGGGTGGCAGAAGGGGATCGTGGCACTGGGCGATCCTGCTGAGGGTGCGTCTCATGCATGCACATGCACACGCACGCACTCTCTGCTTAAGTGAAACCCTGATGATGATTCACAGTATGTACTGGACCCTAATCTCAGTGCTGTGTACTAATTCACCCCTTTACTCCTCAGGCACCCTACGAGGCAGGATATACCGTGATCTCCATTTTACGGAGAAGGGTGCGGGGCACAGAGGGTAGGTTACTTGCCTAAGGCCTCACAGCTAGTAAGTGGCAAGGCTGGGCTGAAGCAGGAGCCAGCAAAGAAGATCGCTAACTCCACCTCTCCCCTTCTACCCTCTCCTCCAAGGTCTCACTGAGGGCCTGGGGTAGCTCGGACCTGTCATCTTTCTCCTCCCTCTCTCATTCCCAGCACGGTGGCTCCCAAAGTGTGGCCCCCAGCCAGCAGCATCAGCATCTCCTGGGAACCTGCTAGAAATTCACATTTTTGACTGGCTTCATGGCCCGGTGGTTAAAGCAGCCAGAGCCCACATAGTGCAGTTCAGGTCCCAGACCTGGTTGAGAAACACGCCAGGCACGTGTGTACGTGTGCCCATAATCCCAGAAAGAAGGATAGATAGAGGAGAAGGGATTATGCATGGCCATACACCATGGGAGGGGGGCTTGATTTCTCCTCTCCTCTCCTCTCCTCCTCTCCTCCCTTTGTCTGTCTCTCTCTGGCAAGTGCACATGCCCTCCAGCAAAAAAAAAAAAAAATTAAATTAAAAAAGAAAAAGAAAAAGCCCTTTCTCAGGCCGGATCCTAGTGAGGCAGAATCAGAAACTCAGGAGCAGGACCCAGGAGTCTGTGTTAACCAGCTCTGCAGATGACTCAGAGACAACTGGACAAAGTATGGGAGCCACTGCCCAGTGGTCCCCACTCCCCCTGCTCATGGTGTCCTGTTGGGGTGGGGCGGCAGCCTCCTTGCCCAGACTGACCCCCACTCTGGCCTCTGTCCTGCAGAAGATGGACCCTTTCCTTGCTGCGCTCCGCCAAGCCTCCTCCCTGCTACAAGCTTCCATCGAGGAGTTTGAGAAGGGCGACCCCCCTGGGGGAGTACAGGTGAGCCTGGTGCCTTGAGTGGAGGGAAACCACACTGTACCCAACTCTACAGACCAAGGGCGCAGTGAAGGGAACAGCGAGGGTAGGTGTCCTCATCCCCGTTTCCATGCATTCGTTGGACTGATACTGACCAGGCCCTCGCCGTGTGCCATGCTGGAGCTGGCTTGCCCTCCCCCACGGGGCTCGTGGTGCAGTGGCAGAGTAGATATTTAAAAAGCAAACAACCGAGTGGATATGTCATGACAAATGAAAGTAAGAAGACAATGGGAAAGGCAGGATGGCCTCTCTGAAGAGCAGGCTTTTAAGTCAAGGCGGGCGGTTTGAGAAGGAGCCCGTTCTTGAGGGAGGCTGTGCTCCAGGCAAAGGCATGCAAAGACCCTGAGGTGGGATGATTATGCTTGGGGTGTGGCAAGGAGGCTGTGGAGCAGTGAGTGGGGGGAAGGATAGGAAGAGAAGCACTGGAGGATCTACTAGACAGCAGGGACAGAATTAAGGAGGAGCTGGGTTACAAGGATTCCAAGCAGGTAGGGAAGCACTGGCGAGTTTACGCAGGGAGACCATCACGGTTGCATGCTGAGATTCTTCCAGCTGCCATGTGGAGCACGGACTGTAGGGGGAGCCAGTGGGCAGCAGGGAGATCCGCAAAGAGGCTGGAATCAGCGTCCCTGGGAGAGAGGATGGCCTTGGACCGGTGCGGTTGCCTTGGTGATGCGAAGGGGCGTGGCTTGAGCGAGTTTTAGCGAGAAATGACAGTCATTCCGGAGGATTTTGAATGCTCAACTGGGAAAGCCAGGCTTGGTCTGAGAGTGAGGAGCCTGAATTGGGTAGCAGCCTGGGGACTGGGCCTCAGGTCACTTCCCTATGCTGCCAGGAGGCTACCAGGTGCCTGAGCAAGTCCAAGGAGCTGATGGAGGCCGTACTGAAGGACCCGGGCCTCCTGAGCCTCCAACAGGAAGGTGGAGCCACCCTGGCCAGGCTGCAGAGGGAGGCCAGCAGGCTGGACTTCAACCCCGATGTCAGGTACAGGCTCCCGGACTTTCCTCTCCACCTCCCCTGGTTCCCCAGCCAGGAGGCTCAGAGCTGAGCCTCCCCACCTAGGGGTCATAGGGAAGGCCCATGATGCCAGGATTATGGTGTGGGGGGTCTATATGCTAGACTGAGGCCAGACCACAGCCCCATCCTGCCCCCAGGTCCTGGCAAGTTCCCTGTCCCTCTTCTGCTGCCCCTCCTTCATCCCTGGTCATCTTCATGTCCAGGCGGGCATCAAAAGACACCCCCTCCAACTTCCACTCAGACCCTCGTCTGAGCCCCTTCAAAGCCCACCTCATTCATTCCTGGCAAGGACCCCGTGGGACCCAGCTTGTCTCATTTGTCTGTCGGGTAGCTGGGACTCAGTAAAGTGAATGACAGTGAGCCAAGGGTCCCCTGGGGGTCTGGACCCAGACCAGCTGAGCACCTGGTCTCACACCACTCTGCTTCCCCACGGGCTGTTTGTCCTGACTGGGGAACCTCATGGAAGTCGGGGGCTCCGAGCCATAGAGCAAATGAAAGACATTTCTGGGAAGTGGGGGCTCAGTAACTGGAAATAGCTCCTCTCTCTTAGAACACAGGTACTTCTAGTCGGGAACCAAGCGAAAAGCTTGCATAGGCTTTTGAGATCAAACTGCTTATTGAAGTGCTACCTAATAGCACTTAGCAGGTGCACACAGTTCTAAGGGCTCGATAAACACCAACTCGTTTCACTCCCATTCCTGAGGTAGACCCTAGTTTTATCATTTTGCTACAACGGAGAGGGTAAGTGACTTGCCAGGGTCACCACAGCTGGGATGTGGTGGGCCAGGATTTGCACCCAGGCAGCCTGGCCCCAGAACCCTGAACATGGCACCCTGAGCTGCACCCCTAGACCTGGGGCAGGTTCACACAGTGCTGGGCAGCAGTGGGCCCTGGTGCTAGGTGCAAGGTCATCCCCCTGCCCTTCGCACTGCCAGGTGGGGCTGGCCCTGTCTTTCCCAGCATGCCCCTGCCACACCTACCCTGCCCAGGCTGCTCCTGTCCACCTTCCCCTCTAGCCCCTTGGCGCCAGCAGCTCCACCAGGGGGCACTGTGGTCCCACATGAAGCGCTGCGTGCGTTTGTTCTGTGATGGGTCCCTGCAGGGCCGGCCTGCTGTGGTCTGTCCCTCAGTCTCCAAACAGGCTGGCATTTTTCCTCCTGTTCACACATGTGGGTCCTCGTCCTGGAAAGGTGGTGACATGGGGAGCTGCAGTCGGATAGGGAGGCCTGGGCAGAGCGAGACTCCCCACAGGGAGGCAAGCTTTCCTTCCATATCTTCTCTTCCCTTTTCTTTCTGGAGCAAGACTCTCTTGGTGTGTGGGGATTTATATGTCACCTGAAATCCAATCTACACCCCTTCCTTTATGTCTCCGGACTTAGACCATTTAAAAACATTTACGCACAGAAGCGGCCCTCTCTCCAATTCGGTCTGTCCTATGGGAGTTCTTTTTCCCTTTCTGGACCCCTGTTTTCCCATCTGTAAAATGGAAGCCGGGATGGAAGAGCATGTTGCATCTTGGCAATAAAAACAATAAGCGCTACAACGTGGAGGGTGGGGTGCTGTGTTCCTGTCGCTGGTGCCTGGGGGCTGGTTCTCAGCCTGGCTGCCCTGAAACCGTGTGAAGAGCTTCAGAGCCCAGCCCTGCTCAGCGAGACTCGGTTGGCCTGGAGTGGAGCCTGACTATCGAGGTTTTTAATGCTCCTTGGGCAGGTTCCAATGCATAGCCAGGGTTGAGAAAGAGATATTAGATGAGTTAATTCTCACAACTGCTCTGAAAAATGGGTTCAGTCATTATTCTCACTTTACAGACAAAAACACAGAGACACAGAATGGCTGAGAAATTTGCATCAGATCCCATTCTAGAAGGTAGCCCGGCTGGGATTTGAACCCAGGTCTGCCCAGCTGGCTTGCACCTTGTTAGGAAAAAGAGAGGGTTCTTTTACTTCCAGGTCATGTCCTCGGGTCCTTTCAGTCCCATGAAAGGCCAAGGCTGAGGTCCACAGAGGTGTATGGACGTGCTCAAGGTCACAGGGCAAGCCAGCAGCTGGCTGGGGGTTAGGATGGACAGGCCTGTACTGGGCAGAGCTGTTGAGAGGGCATGGGGGTTCTTTCTCACCCCCGTCTGCCTCCCAGGAACCACCTGGCGGAAGCTGCTGCCCTGTACAGCCTCGTAGATGAGCAGCTTCACGTCCTGGTCACTGCGTCCAACCACCTCCTGGGGAAGCTGGAGCTCCGCGTCCGCCTGGGCCGCCTGGAAGCCGCCATCCAGCAGGTGAGGGGAGGATGGTCCTGGGCGAGTAGTGACACCTGGCTGGCTGCCCTCCACAGGGAACGCCCAGCCCCAGCCTGGCACTTTGGGCATAAAGACACCATGGCGGGCCAGGCAGACATCCTTGGGAAATGGCACGTGGTGTGGCACCCACTAAGTGCTTAATGGACAGAGACAAAGCCCCAAGAACTGAACCTATTGAGCACCTACTATGTACCAAGCCCTAGGCCAGAGCTTTCATGTGCATCATCGCTTTCCAACCTCATCTCTTAGCAGCGATCTGGGGGAGGTGTGATTTGGCCCACTGCACGGATGAGGAAGCTGAGGCTGGGAGATGCTGGGAGAGGAGGGGCTGCGGCTGTGATCCCAGGGATCTCAGGTGCTGGAGCCCACACCTGGCGCCTTTTCATCTGACTGCGGGAACCAGCGCATCCCTTCATACCTGGGGCTCTGGGGCACAGTGTGCTCTAGGAGTCTGACAGCCTGGGTTCCAGTCCCAGCTCCAGCACTTCCTAGTGGTGTGACCCCAGGCATGCCACCTAACTGTCTGGTGCCTCAGATTCCTTATTTGCTGAATGCTTATTGAATCGGTGCCTGCTATGTTGGGTTTAGGAGGACTGATGAACCCTTTCTACCATAGGGCGGGCGCCACCACGCCCCTATGTACCCTTTTTAGACACCCCAGAGTAAGACGAGGACTTCCAGCAAGGGCCGTCTTATGCCTTCTGTCCCTCACTGCATCTTCGTCTAGGCTGTTTCGCCAGCGAGTGAGCTGAGCCCAGAAGGCAGAAGTGGCTCTCGCGCCCCACACAGCACATTTCCAGCTGCTCGTACACCTTCCCCGGCAGTTCGCAGCTGTCTTTCCAGGACGGTTTGCACTCTCAGAGGGCCAGGGATTCATCGCCATCGAGGAAGCCCCTTTTATGTCCGGGTGGCACCGAGTGGACAGAGTAAGCCAAACGTGCCACCCTGTGACTTCAGTGTGACATTGAGGACTACACTCTGCAGGGTGCTGGGTAGGCCAGATCCCTCTGGGGCCCCTCAGCGTGACTATGCACCTCCTCATCTTCTCTTCTCCTTCCCTGGATTGATGAGGTTTCAGTCCCGGCCAGTGGGCACAGGTCTCAGCCCTGAGTGACTAAGGACCAAGGAAGTCGGGTTGTTGACCAAGGGACGTCTCACAACCTCTCATCTCCAAACCTACTCCCCACACCCCAGGTCAGCGACTGGATGGAGCAGGAAGGAAGCCAGTGCCTGCAAATGCTGACCCCCAAGGATGGAAGTGTGGAGACTGTGGAGAAAGCCCAGGCAGAGTTTGAGGACTTTTTCCTTCAGGCCGCAGTGCGTTCTGAGCAAGACCATGGCGGATGGAGAGGGCACTGGAAGGGTGGCACTGTTAGGGCAAAGATGTGGAGGTGGGGAAGTACAAAAATCTTCCAGAGACAGTGAGGGCTCCAGCTTGAATCACGGAGGGTTTGGTTTAGATGTTACCTCCTCCAGGGAGCCTTCCCAGATTGCCACATCCAAAGACTACTCAGAATTTTTAAAGTGCAGACCTTAGGGCCTTACTTGGACCTATGCAGTCAGCCTCAGCAAACAGGGGAAGGAGGCTGCATCTTTGATGTGTTGGGTCCTGGGCTCAGGGTGAGTCAGTCTATTTCAGCCCTTGGAGAACTCCCAGGCCAGCAGAAGATGTGGGTGGGGAAAAAACAGGGAACTGGACGGACAGAGGAACACAAAAAAGGAGCCTCTAACCCAGTCTTTGGGGTCTGGGAAGTTTCCCAGAAGGAGGTGACACCTGAGCAGAGTCCAGCTGGGCCATGAGAACGGCAAGGCAGAGGCCCATAGCCTTAGGGCCTTGTAACCTCTCCTGTTGCTAAACCCTTATCTTGAGCTGAGCCCTGAGGTGGTGCCACGCGGGTCCCCCTTCTACAAATGAGAAAACCAAGACTCCAAGAGTCTTGTCACTCAGCAGCAGGGTGGCAGGAAGTGCCTGATCTCTGAGTGAGGCCCCTGACCATGCTGGGGTTGAGTGGACAGCCTTCCTCCTCTCCTCTCCCCTCTCTCCTTTTCTCTCCTCTCCCCCACTTCTTCTCTTTCCCCTCCCCTCCCCTCTTAGGCCCAGTACCGCAGAGGCCTGGAGTTGTCCAAGCAGGCGGCCCAGCTGGGAGCTGCAGCCCAAGGATCCAGAGAGGGGGGAAGGACAGAGTCCCCAGAGCTGGCAGCCTTCAGCTCTACCCAGCGGACCTTCCAGGCTAAGTTGACCCACTTCTACATGGCGGCAGAGCGGCAACGCACTGACCTCGAGACGCTGCTTCACCTGCACCGCTTCTTCAAGAAGGTGAGCCCCGTGGCCCACCTGCATAAGCCCCCATCCCCCGAATGGGGGGCGGTGGGAACAGAGCGTGGCCTAGATGTAGCATGGGGCTCTTTGCATGATCCATTCGCACGTCCCATGAAGGGGAGAGAGCACTGGTGAGAGGGAGAGCTGGATGCGAACCCAGATGTGTCCCTGCCTCCAGCACACCCGACGTCCTTCTCCAAGGAAAGGAGAAAACGCAAACCAACGCCCTTATCCAAGCAGGCAGGATGATGGCGAAGAGGGCAGTGACAAGGCTGGCACGAGGGCAGCCCATGTTGCTGGACATGCCAGACCCTCCTGGGGTTACATCACACCCCTACCTGCTGTAGTTCTCACCAAGTCTCCATGAGGGAGGTGCGCCAACATTATTCCCATTTTTACAGATGAGAACACTGAAGCCCAAAGAGAAAAATGACTTGCTCGAGGCTGCCTCGGGGATCTCAGATTAACCCCGCCCCCATCCCCCGAATGGGGGGCGGTGGGAACAGAGCGTGGCCTAGATGTAGCATGGGGCTCTTTGCATGATCCATTCGCACGTCCCATGAAGGGGAGAGAGCACTGGTGAGAGGGAGAGCTGGATGCGAACCCAGATGTGTCCCTGCCTCCAGCACACCCGACGTCCTTCTCCAAGGAAAGGAGAAAACGCAAACCAACGCCCTTATCCAAGCAGGCAGGATGATGGCGAAGAGGGCAGTGACAAGGCTGGCACGAGGGCAGCCCATGTTGCTGGACATGCCAGACCCTCCTGGGGTTACATCACACCCCTACCTGCTGTAGTTCTCACCAAGTCTCCATGAGGGAGGTGCGCCAACATTATTCCCATTTTTACAGATGAGAACACTGAAGCCCAAAGAGAAAAATGACTTGCTCGAGGCTGCCTCGGGGATCTCAGATTAACCCCTGAGCCCCTCCCAAATTCATGCAGCTAAATCCCTCATTTTTCTAATGGGGAAACTGAGGCCTATGGGACAGCCTGTGAGCCGGCTAGGACAGGAACCCACATGGCTGGCCCAGGCCCAGTGCCCTCCACTGCCTCACATTCACCACCAAGGACAGAGCCTGAGAAGAGCCTAATCCCTGCCTCCCAGAGGGGCCTTCGGGTCTGGCAGGGAACATGGGATACTTCAGGGTCTGTGGGAGGACCCAGGTTAACTCAGTCCTGGGGCCCTGTAAGGACAGGGTGCTCTGTTTCCTGGGAGCAGTGGTCAAGGGAGGCAGGTGTCTGCGGTGGCTGCAGAGGGATCCCCACACCTGCCACTGCAGAGGTTGAGGGTAGGATCTGAGACCCTGGCGTCCAGACCTCACACGCCTGTGTCTGGACGTGGCCTCAGCACGATCTTCACCTGGGCCTCTGCCCCTCGTTAATGATAAAAGCAGGGGCTGTGGCTGTGGTTCTTACTGTGGGCCAGACCGGCTTCTGGTCCTCTCACATGCCATTCCCTTGTCACACCAGCCCTGTGAAGCAGGAACTCCCATTCTGCCCATTTACAGGGGAGGAAACAGAGAGGTCAAATATCTCACCGCGGGTCACACAGCTAGTGGAGGGGTGGCCCTGAGATGCCAACCCACAGCCTGGGCCCTACTGCCAGCCTTGCCAGGCAGAGAGATCATTCAGTGAGAGGGAAATAACCCAGCACAGGCTTTGCTTGGGCGTGGAGTGAGGAACGGCAGCAATGTTATTACCTAGGGGAAGGAGCAGCAGAGGTGCCCGAGGGGTAAGGGCGGCTGGAAGCTTCTTCCTCTCCCTCACTGATGTCAGCCTTTTCAACACCATTGGCCTTCCCTCGGGTTAGCCACTCTTGCCCCAGCTCAGAGGCCTATGCGCTGGCACTCCCTCCGCTGCAAGGCTCTCCCCTCCACCTCCAGCTTCCTATCTTTCTTCCACTCTCAGCTCAAGTCCCCTCCTCACTGAGGCCCTTTCTGACCCAGCCTCCTGCTCTGTCATCCCTGCTTTCTCACATCGCAGTGCCCTTTGTGATCTGAGATGATCCTCTTGCTTGATCACTTGCTTGTCCCTTGCCTGTCACCTGTGAGGGTTCTACTCTGTCCATGGGGCTGGAGCAGGGTCAGCACACACCGGGGGCCCCTGGGCACTTGTGGGTGTCTGGCCTGGTTGGGAGAGGAGAGGCTGGAGGAGGTGGCATCTGCCCAGGCCTGGAAGGTGTGCAGGGGCAGTGGCAGCACTGACCTCAAGTCCCACTTTGGACACCTCTCCTGTGGGGTCCGGGCCGGCCCCTTCTCCACTCTGGCCCTCCATTTTTTATCCATACAAGGGGTTGGTTGAGCAAGAGGATTTGAGCTGCTTTCTATCTGCGTCAGGCTTGACCTGGAAGGTTGAGTCCTAGACAGACAGACAGTCAGACAGGCCAGCCAGAGCAGGCTGAGCCCCAGTGGGAGCGTGTTTGCAGCAGCTCCAGTGCTAAATAATAATAACACGATTGCGCCGCTAACGGAGATTTATGGAGCCCTTTCCCGGCCATGAGCTCCGTGTGCTTCCACGAATATGAAGCCATTTATCTAAAGACAAGTTCCCTTAATCCGCGGAAAGATGGTCTCCTCGGAGAAAATGGTTCTCCAATCCTTACAGCCTAACGGCTCACTGTCGGGCTCTAAATTAATGGAGAGAAAGATTATGTTTTTCATGAGCTGCTGGAAACGGGCTGGCTCCTTTGCAGGCTGCAGACATTTTGTGCAGGAAGCAGGGGTGGGCAGAATCACAAAATGGAGCAGGGCCCGGCCAGAGCGAGGGCCCGGCTGCAGGGCCTGCTCGGCCTTGGCCAGTTTCTCCTGCACCAGGAGCTGCTTGGAGCACGCTGTCAGCCAGGACGGATGAGAATCGGGACCCTAGCTCCTGTCTGACTCACTCGCTGCGTGCCCTGGGGTAAGACACTGCACTTCTCAGAGCCTCGGTGCCCTCCTCTGCAGAACGGGCTGCTGATCACGTGCAAGACTGACGGAGCCAGGCAAACCTATTGGCACTCAGTGGCCCTCAGCCAGACTCCTCCCTCAGCGCCGCTCACAGGGCTCGTACAATCCAAAGATCCGCAATCCCAGCTCTCGAAAGGCTTTTTGTGACCATAGAGTACAATTTTCATTTCATGGGGGGGCCCGATGACGAGTGAGTCCTTGCTGCCCACGGGCCCATAGAAGCTGCCTCCAACCCCAAGGGTGGTGGGGCTGACCCAGGCGGCAGGTAGGTGTGGCCCCGGGACGAGAGGAAACACGTGATCATGGTCAGCAGAGACAGTAATGGCCCCACAAAGGTCCTACTGTGGGAGAGGAGGGGAGGCTGGGGACAAGAGGAGAGGGAGCTGGGGGCTCAGGCTGGGGCTCAGCCCACTCTGGCTGACCTGTCTGTCTAGGTCAAGCTCCACAGAGATGAAACACAACTCAGAAATCTTGTATGGATGAAAAATTGAGGGCCAGAGTGGAGGAGGGGCCAGCCCAGACCCCACAGCGGGAGGTGGCCGAGGCAAGACTCGAGGTCAGGGCTGCCACTGCCCCTGCATGCTTTCTGGGCCTGGGAAGATGCCACTTCTTGCAGGGCCTGGTTAATTTCGTCTAGTGGTCCTTTCACCTTGAGCACCCCCATGCTCAGAGAGGCACATCCCTGTCCTTGCGGAGGGGCCCACTCCCAGCCTGAGCTCCCAGCTCCCTCGCTTCTTGTCCCCCAGATGACCTGGTTCCACATGGACTGTCAGGACCTGATGACTCAGCTGCAGCTGGGCAAGACCCAGAGGGCCAGCCCCAGGGACCAGCGCCGTCTCCACCGCTACCTGCAGCGACTGGAGGCCGAGTTCCCTCCTGAGAAGCTCTCGGCCATGGGGCTGCAGGTGGCCTCCCTGAGCAGACCAAGTCTAGGCCAGGACCTGTGGGGGGAGGCGCAGGCCAGACACCAGGAGATCCGGACCCTCCTGAAGAAGGCCTTGGCCCACTGTCCATGCCCAGCGGCTGCCTCTGCTCACTCAGCACGTCCAGAGAGAAGAGGGGTAGCTGCCAAGGGCCAGGGTCTCAATGAGGAACTCACTTCCAAGGGGAGGTGGGACTTGCTCCTCCAGGACTCACCGGGCGGGGATCCTTTGCCCAAATCCTGTTGGCCTCTTTGGGCCACCAGAGCCAGGCAGAACACAAGTTTCCAGGCAGGCCCGGCACCTCAGGGAGCTGGAGAGGCCGACGAAGGCAGAGGCCTGCATGAGCTGCCTCATCCTGCCCCCGAGCCCTTTCCTGCCCCACTTCTCTTCTGGCAGAAGCTCCACAAACAGGGCTGGGTGCCCCACTCCACTGGGGGCAGCTTCTCCTCAGAGGGGACAGACTCACAGACCTCTCTGGAGGACTCACCCCAGACCAGTCCCCCTGCCTCACTCTAGGGGGGTCCCCCCCAGATGGCTGGGATGGGGCCCAGCTAGAGGGAGCTGGAGAGCCCTGACCAGCCCCGTCGGGATGCAGCTACCGAGCACTGGGTTCACATTTGCCGTGCTGGAAGGCTGGGAACCCTGGGCCTGCTCCTAGCCCAAGGAAACTCTGGGAAGTTCTGATTCTCACTCAGGTGGAATGGCAACAGTGGGAGTCTCAGCCAGGACTCAGTGATGGGGTGACTGGCTCTGCAGCTCTGGGTCTCCGGAAGTCTCACCTGTAACAGGCCTGGCGCCCTGCTGGGACTCAGGGGAGCACACAGGCCTTCCCCTTAGGCAGGCAGCCATAGTCACCTCCTACAGAATCCATGGGCAGGAGACCTGGGAGTGGCTTTGTCAGCGATAAAACTAACTCTGGAAAATGTTGAAGGAGATTTAGTTCTTTCTTCTTTCCTTCTTTTCTTCTCTTTCTCTTTCTTTTTTTTTTTTTTTTCCTAAGATTTCCCCCGTCCCCCACAGGGCATGTGCACTCGCTGGAGAGAGAGAGAGAGACAGGGACCGATTTGGAAAGTGAGCAATCATACCCGGAGGGGAGGGGAGATGGCCATGACATAGACCCTTCTCCTTCTAGGAGCTTGGGCAAGCATGCATACATGCCCAGCGTGATTTTCAAGCCGCCAGGCCTGGGACTTAAACCACAGTCAGCCATGTGGAAGTCCAGTGCCTTAACCACTATGCCACCTGCTGGTCCATCTTCTTTCTTATTTAATTTTTGCAGGAAGTATGTGCATTTGCCAGAGAGAGAAAGCACCCCTCAATGGGGCATGGTCACACCTTAATTCTGTCTCTGTTTCTCTATTCTGTAAAGATTTGGGGCATGCACGTATTTTGTTTCTCAAACCACCAGGGCTGGGATTTGAACTTTGCAGTTGACCATGTGAGATCCAGCTTGTCTTAACCACTATGTAACAGGCCAGCCCTAAGGAGGTTTATTCTAAACCAGTTTGAGTGGCCGCAGCTTGGGGAAACAATCTCGATAATTCTTGAGAAAGTGCTTTCTACTCACCTGAGTCACAGCAGGTGTTTTGTACATTTCAGGAAAGCAGAGGTTACTATCAAATCAATACCCAGAGATGTCAGCCAATAATGGGTAGCTTGAAGTGGGGCATTTACAAGACACAAATAGATTCAAAGATATATTTTTTTAGCTTATTATTTGTTCAAAGAACAAGACCTTGGGGACCAGCAAATGGCATAATGGCTATGTTGCTGGACTCCCATGTAGTTGACCACAGTTCAAGTCCCAGACCCGGTGGTTTAAACTCACACCACACACGCCCAAGATCCCGAAAGGAGAATGGAAGAGAAGAAGAGATTGTGGCGTGGCCAGGGGTGTGGCTTCTCACTTTCTGTTTCTCTGTCTCTGTCTCTTTCTGTCTTTCCGGCAAGCGCATGCATCCTATACCAAAACCTCTCCAAAAAAAAGGAAAGAAAGAAAGAAAGAAAGAAAGAAAGAAAGAAAGAAAGAAAGAAAGAAAGAAAGAAAGGAAG